TTAGGATGAATCAATTAGGCTGCCATTAGCCAATAAAGTGGCCCTCACTGAGTCGTGTAATTATGACCCACAGCAAAGCCAATTTTATGGAGGCACATTATCCCTTTCTTTTCTTTATTCGTTTTATTTGTTTGAGATAATCCCTCCATGGTTTTAATTAGGTTCAGGGTGGAATAAATAAATCATCATTTGCTTCTGCAGGTCTGCGGTTTTTCTCCGTGTAAGAGGAAACTACCCAATCGCGAGACAAGAGATTGTCACCGCGTCTGTCATCGTTAGAAGGATCGGCCTGATCAGTCGTTTAAATTAAAAATGAACGCGTCCTCCTCGCAGAAATCCACATTAACCCCACTCGGAGCAAGATCCCATCAGATCGTGTGATAAGAGTCGGCAGGAAGAGCTGATATTACAGGCAGGCAGCTACTTAGCTTGTTCCCAGCTCAGAGGACACTGTGTAAGTGTGACAATGTGCTGTCAATGAGGGATGACAGTACACAGCCAACATGGCGTAATGCATTGTTCCTTCCTGGGTCCCTCCTGACAGATGCTCTCCAAGACAGCTGGATCAGCAGCGAGAACGGAGCTGGGATCTGGGCGGCGTACGAGGAGACGATGTGATGTGCGGCTGATTAGTGGAGGGTGTACACGTGTCAACAAGCAAGGCCTGGGGATCGCAACGGGAGTTTCGGTTAATTCTCAGCTTAAGAGCATGATGTACGTCTTCGGATAACCGGCGAATGTAGTCGTTTGCTTTCCTTTTGTCCGTGACCTTTCTGATGTCGAAGGAAAAAAAAAAAAAATCAGCCTGCTGGTTTTTCCCTTCCAGGAGAGATCTCCTAAGAAATGACCTTCTCTGCAACAGGCGCTCTTATAAGACTGATGCTGGAGGAGCTTCAAACCAAGTAAAATAAACACTTCATGAATGTTAAGCTGGAACTTGGCAGACGTGAATTGAATCGTTTTTGTGGACACAGGGAATTTTTATGTTCCTTTTCATTTGACAGTCTAGACGTTTTATGAGTTGGGGAAGAAATCCGACCTCAGATTTTTTGCTCGAAAACATCTGAGGAGAGCTTCTTCCATCTTGCATTTGCACCCTGTTGTTCTCTCAGATTGTATTCTTTGTTTTGTGATTTCTTATGATACTGATGACACTCACAGTTTCACCTAAAATCTGTATTTAAAGATCTGAAAGACAACTCTGGTAGGTCGGCGTTTAACTAGGGCTGCAAATAGCAATTATTACCATTACTGATTAAGCTTCCTATTTTTTTCTTTTTTTTCGGATCTTGTTTGGTTGCTAAAATGTCGGAAAATGGTAGAAAATGTAGATCAAAGCTTAAAGATGACGTCCTCAAAGGTCTTGTTTTGTCCACAACTCAGAGATATTCAGCTTAGGGTCATAGAGGAGAAAGGAAACAAGAAAATATTCACATTTAAGAAGCTGACTGAGAATGATCTTACTCAGTTGAATTGATTATCAAATAGTTGTTGATTCGCTAATTGATTAATCGTTGCAGCTCTGCATCTCACACTGTGTGGAAACCTGAAGCCTGCTTCACACGTTGGAGAAGAAGAAGTATGAGAAGTAGCAGACATCATCCAGTGACTTTGAAATTAAAACTGATTACATATTCATAGATTGATGAATGAAGGTGTAACCATGTAAAGGAACATGCAGAATGTTTTGTTTACAGAGATTCAGGATGTCTGCTGGGAATCTTAAATCTTGTCCCTGATTTTCAATTCAACGTAACGTCTCATTGTGCGCTTTGTCAAAATCTTTTATTCCTTCCTCTTTAACTACGTTCTGCTACGACTTGTTTTCCTGCCGAAAATTACTTCCAGAAAGTGCAGCTCATTTTCCTCCATGGGATATTGTGGTGTGCTCTCATTTTAACACCCACTTTAGTCTGGTATTTATGAGGTGGTAACTGTAGAAAAAAAAAAGGAGGGGGAAAAAAAAAAGAAAGAAAAGGTGCCTCTCCGTTCTGGTGAGCGTTCAGGAGCCGCCGCTGGTGTACGTTAACTAAAGCAGACAGGCGGGTTTAGAGTTTCTGATGGAGCGGGCTTGATCGGGTCGTAGCGCGGCTGCAGCCGCGGCGGTGCGGAGGTGAGGCGGGTGTGAAGCCATCCGAGATTTTCCACCTCCGAGCGCCGTCCATACATTACCGGAGTGATGAAGGATTCTGGGTAATGAGACAGGATGTTTGTACAGTCCTGCCATCCCAGGAGACGCCCCACCACCGCCTCCCCCCTCCGTCCTCCTCCGACACTCCTCCCACACTCAATCTACCTCCCGCTGAGCCCGTGGCCTGAACCGCTGACCTCTTCCACTCGCCAACAGTTGCCATATTTGCATTTCCAGTCCACTTAAAGTCTGAGGTGGGGGGCGAACGAGGCAGCCCCCTCCTCTTCCCCTGCTAGTACAGCAGGCCTCATTCTCATCCCAGTGACCCCCTGCCCAGGCCTACCAACCCGGACAGCAGTCTGGGGTTAATGCACCAAGCACTCCTATTGTCTCTGAATTAATGAAGTGCTCCCTGCCTGTCCCTTCTCATTCAATGACAACGAGACAAATGACAAGTGGTGCTGTTTTAAACGGCTATCAACACTCGCGGGGCACAAAGTCACAGAGTCAGAGCTCGCGTCGGCGCCGCGGCCGAGGCCCGGTAACGAAAACACCAGCTGCCGCCCGCGTCCACTCTGGGATCAGGTTGGTCCAAGGCAGCGCTGAGCTCCACACCGGAGCTGAGCTTTTATATTGAAATGGATGGTTCTCAGATGGAGGAGGAAGAGTCTGAGCCTGGGAGTGTTTCCACCTCAGAAAATGGAAGGTGGGACTTGAATGTCCTAAAGAATGGCAAGGGAGACCTCTAGTGGAAGGCAGAGGCATCCCTTCAGGTTACTGCTGATACCGTCCAATCTCATTTATTGTCCTGGGTAACACATATTCCTCCATCAGATCACATCATTGTCGCTTGGTATTAACCAGCTCACACCTCTTTCACATGTCATCACCTTTTTGTTTCAGCCTTTCTAATATACGTCAGCAAATGAAGTCTATCTATATCTTTGCTTTTTTCAGGCTCATTTTTTTTGCTGTAATATGAAGTGTTGCACCTCCATGGAAACAGCACAGCCATGGCAGGAAGTAGAGAGAAGTCAGCTAGTGTGTAGCATGACACACTTGTATTGTCATAAGCCATGAATCGAAAGCAAGGGTTAAAACTCACTTGTTTTTTAATCACTGATAAAATCGGGATCAAACATGCACAGCATGTTTCTAAGGCCTTAAAGGTGAATCTGCATGCTGTACACACAGCCTGCAGTTCATCCCAGTTCAGCCCAATAGGATTTTTAGCCACGGGACTGTTGGTTGCAGCTCATACACTTATGGCTTCTTGGTCACGCCGAGCAGTGCACATTTTTTGAGTTTTGTACAGAATCTCGTTTATTTATTTTTGGTGATTTTTTTTAAATAAGACAAAGAAAAAAGTGGTTTGAATGAAATGTCACAATTTCAAGCGAAGGTTTTTCTATTCGTTCCAATGTAACACTACTTTATACATGATTTGTTGGAGGATCATTGGGAGGCTGATAATTAAACAATTCTTTTTTACATTTAGTGAATAAATGGCAGCCAAAAGAACAACATAAAGAAGAGCGTCGATAATCATAATAGTGATTAGTGAGGGAGAAGAGACAAACTTCTACCTCTACTGGGGCTGCAAAAGTGTTTACTAGCAAATAATCCACTGATCATTTTCTCAACTAATGTCTTGTATACAATATAAGAAAAAAAAAACTAATCCAAGGTGATGTGGTCCAAAACACAAAGGTATTAAATTTAAAGCGAAAAACTGGAAATGTTGCCCCTCAGAATTATTGCTGCTCATATTTTTCTGTTGATCAATTCATTGATTAAGGGACGAAACGCTTGAGCTCTAATTGAATCAAGCCGCCAGTTAGTTATCGTGGGAGGCCGGATGATTGGATTCCAAATTTACGAGAATCAGCTGCCTGGCTTTTAAAGTAGAGAAGGTCACAGCAGCTTTTTGGTGTGTAAGGAGTAGCCAAAGGTTTATTACTGAGTCCAATGCTCTGGAGAACAAATTGATTCACACAAGCTCGGAGCTGAGTTTATATATTCCAAAAAGAATCCATATCGGATTCAGTCTGACAACAATGTCTCCCGAAAACTCATTCCTATGCAGCTAAACTGTATTCAGAAACATACTTCTTCATCAAAAGGTATATGTGACGTACTGGGAAAGGCTTCCAGTTTGAAGGAGCCACAAAGTCCATGTAAGGAGGACGGAGGCATAAGTCAGCTACGAGACTTCACACAGGAGAGCAGGGTCTGTGTCCAACATGGGACCAGTATTCTTAGAATTGAATTCACTGTTAATTATTAGTTTTCACTCGCTGTTTGACTAAGTTTGGGTACCAAAACAACATGGTTAGGTTTGGGAAAATATCCCAGTTTGGGTTAAAATACGACCCTTTTGCGTTGTGTTTAAAGCTTCTTCTCGGTTATAACAGATGTGTCGATTCACAACATATTCGTCACAAACAAACATTATTCCGCATAAAAATGTAAACAAAAATAACATTTAGTTGTACAGGAGCGTCACTTTTGGGACGTAGAATCTGAAGAACTTGTTCCTTCTCATCAGTTTCAATCCTTCAGTCCAAATCACATTAACTTTTAGGTGCACTGGACATTTTTCTAAAACATATAAAAAGACAGATGTGAAGGTAGTCAGTGGTTTGAAATCTAAACACAACAGAGGGATGATTTTTTTTTGCACACTTCCCACTGCCCATGTGTCTGTCTTTGCTACAACATCCTGCTCGGCTCACACTGAGCCGGCGGACGTGCCGGTGCTGCTCGGCGATGTCAGCCGAGCAGCGCCGCTGACAGCTTGTTACGGCGCCTCACGCCACTGCAGGTGCGACCTTTATGACTGACCTCTGACCTTCTCCTGTCATCGCAGTGCTGAGCATCCGCGGCGCCCAGGAGGAGGAGCCCCCCGACCCCCAGCTCATGCGGCTGGACAACATGCTGCTGGCAGAGGGCGTGTCCGGTCCGGAGAAAGGCGGAGGCTCTGCAGCGGCGGCGGCGGCCGCGGCCGCCTCGGGAGGAGCGGGGGCGGACAACTCGGCGGAGCACTCCGACTACAGGGCCAAGCTGTCCCAGATCAGACAGATCTACCACACGGAGCTGGAGAAGTACGAACAGGTGAGGCCTGAGTGGATGCAGGAATGCCACACATCTGTGGAAGTTACTCAAGTGCTGGATTTTACTCGAGTATTTCCAGTTTCTGCTGCTTTGTATTTCCATTCCACTACAGTTTGGAGGCAAATATTACACTTTTTATTTCACTATAGTCAAGTTACTTTTAGATTTAGTCTGATGATGCAAAAGATGATCAACAAATAAATTATGTACATTGATCATTATTGATCCAAGAGGGAATTTAAAAGCTACCCAGCAGATATAAAGTCAGTAAATCACCTCTATCAGCTCCAACTGAAAATAAAAAACACATGAATGCATTATTAACTATAATACATTATTAGAACAATGAGTATCTTCACTTTTGGCACTTTAAGTACACTCTGATGCTAATACTTTCATACTTTTGCTTAAGTAAAAATTGAATTCCTGTCTTTTACTCGTAACAGAGCATTTCAACAGTGTTGGTACTTTAACCAAAGTTATACGTTCCAATTCTCAGTAGAGTCGCAGTTTTAGCGCTTTACATTTTGACATATATGTTTGAATTCCTTCTTGTTAAACCTAAATGTCTTAGAGGAAGCTTTAATCCTGTTTGTTCTACTTTGTTCTACAATTAAACCATTCAATATGTAGCAACAACAACCAAAAATAAGCAGTGGGCTTAATAATGTTAGTAAACTACAGTAAAAAGACAAAGAAATGGTCAGAATTGCTGTATCAGAGCCCAAGAACTAGAGATACTCCTGAATGTTTTCCAGTGTCACATGTCAAAACAAAACACAAAAAGTGTCCATGCCAAAAAAAATATATAAAATGCACATTTGTCCTTGTAATGAATTCTAATTGCTGGCCAAAAAAATGTCACCGTGTGAATAGTAATTTAATAAAGATTCTTGGCAAATTATTACTAAAAATACTTACTACGAGTGTGTGGACTCCGTCCCAGCACAGCGTAAGGTCTGCTAATGACTGATGCCCATCAAACTGTCCAAAACTCAAAGATGTTCTCTTTAAAATCATCAACAGTTCTCTCATTTGAGCCACAGATATTTGTTGTTTTGGCTTCATCAGTTGTTTGAATAAGAAACATTGTTGGTTTCCTTTCTGTTAGCTGACTCATTGATCGACTAACTTATTTTGACAACTTCCAGGACTTTAGCGCAACTTTATGATCCACTTATCTTGACTTTGCAGAAGTCTTGGTTATTGTGGTTCCAGACCTTGGGGCACATGTGGGAGACAAGAAAAAAATGCATTTTTATGATAACTCAGAAATGATTTGGGTTGTTTTTCAGGAAAAAAAAGAGAAAGTACAGAACTCAATTACCTCCAAGACTGTTGGTCAGACAAAACAACACATTTGAATATGTTACCTTGGGTTATTTTCTCACATTTTGCGTCAGAACTTTACAGCTTTGTGCACTTTGTACACCAAAAAGAAGCCGTCCTAACCCCCCAAAAAATGCATCATCACTTCTCAGACGATTATTTGTTGCCAAACTGGTCCATCTCCCCACTTCTCCTTTGCTCTCCTGAACTTTATAACCCAGATTTTATTCTCCACCGAGCCGGAATCAGTCTTAAATCAAGTGGCAGCCCCTCGCAGACTCAAACTGCTTCCTCAATGTACATCGCTGTCAGTAAGAATTCACTTTAGACTGTGTTTTTACCCTAGAATAGTCCATCATATGCAGCGCGCTGTGTGTCTCTGTGTGCATTCCAAGTATAGCCTTGAAAGTTTGTTAGAACGGAGGGGGGGTGATTTCCTCTCATTGCCTTGATAAGCGATGCATTCATGACAATAGCATCCCTTTCAGATGAATGTGAGTAAGACAGATGAACAGGCAGATAGACAGACACAGACAAAGCCTGACACGGCTAAATCCAGAGAGAGATCGACGGGAGGTGCAGAAATAAAGAAGAGGAGACAGTAAGAGACGCAGAGTCGGAGTGTAATATCGTGGCAGATTCACGCCTGGTGTCACACGGGGGGATGAAACGTTGTGGCGTGTTCGTCTCTCAGGGTTGGCTATGCTGTGAAAGTGTGTGTCTGAGAGGGGAACAGCTGTCATTGGTTCCTCTCAACATACTGCCATCACCATTTCTGTTAAATATGAAACATATCAGTGCTTAAATTCCCTCTTGGCTCAGGGAGAAAGCTCGCCCCAGAACTGCATTAGGCAAAGAGCTGGGTTTTAGATTTCCATCATCTGTGAATTTTAAATACTACACTCAGTGAATTTGACACGGCCACATTGACAAATTGAGGTCTCATCTGCAGTTTTCTCAAGACTTTTAAAGGAAGTGGGCTCTTTGACGTTTCACCGCATGTGTTTGTATCCTCCCCACAGGCGTGTAACGAGTTCACCACCCATGTGATGAACCTGTTGCGAGAGCAGTCGCGCACGCGGCCGATTTCGCCCAAAGAGATCGAGCGCATGGTGAGCATCATCCACCGCAAGTTCAGCTCCATCCAGATGCAGCTCAAACAGAGCACCTGCGAGGCCGTCATGATCCTGCGCTCCCGCTTCCTTGATGCCAGGTGTGTGTCCTTGTATACATGTGTGTGTTTTGTAAGCCCACACCACCACGCTCCATACCACAAATAACCTCACAATTCAACCACATTACAAACACCTCATCATGCGCTTTCCCTCTCAGCCTCATATCCATATGAATGGCGGATGTAGGAGGCCTATCATGCTATAAACATGCTGTAACGCAGGCTGTTTTCGCTGCTTGCCACACATGCCGGGCTGCTTTGCATCTACGGATGCCATTTGGACCAGCATACCCAGCAACACCGGCCAATAAGAGCTCCCTGCGTGCTCCATAACGCTAACTGTTTCCCTTTTTTAATGTAATCGCTTGTTCTCTTTGATGCGTGCTTTGGATTTGCATACATTTCTCCAAGGATAAATCTCACTCAAAGTCTGAGTTGGAGGCATAACATTTAAATGAGGCATGCGCTGCCTTACAAAGCTCCCTATCTATTCTCTTGCAAATGATTGTGGTGGCGCAGCAGCGAGGGGAAGGGAGAGGAAGAGGAAAGCTTTCGCTGGTTGAGAGGCACTGCCTTGCTCGGCTCCGCTGATTAATCTACTGGCTGCTGGAGCCCATGCTGTGCACATTTACATATTCTCATGCAGGCTTTTGGAGCGGGGGACAGAGATTTTAGCACAAATCTCCTCACCGGTGGATGCATGCAAAGAGATTTTACAGGGTCCCCCTCCAGCTTATGTAAAGCCCTCTTTAGATGTGGCACATGCAGACATGACCTGATAGGTGCAGGAGATGGAGGGTCAGTCAACTCATGGGCATCAGCATGTGATATCTGTCTGCTTTAAAGGGTTGTGTTGAGGGATCTAGCAGGGTTCGTGTTTAATATGCAAACCGTGGAAAGATTTATGGCAGTATGTCACGATGGATCAGTCTTCCCTTGTTTCTGTGCTGCCGTTTTTAGTATGCTGGGATTTTGCATGTGTGTTCTTCTGCATGTTTAAATTCAAAAACTGTAAAAATGCTGAATTAATTTAGAAACAAGAGCATAAAGAATAAGTCCACAACAGGAATTCATTGTTACTTTTTTTTTTTTTTTTAAAAGGAAAACCATCTGATTAAACTGAATTTTAACCCACTGAACCCCAAGCAAGAGCTGTGCTTTTTATTTTATTTATTTATTTTGCTCCTGTCACATTTTAACTCTTATTTTTCACTGCAATATGAATTCCTGCACCTCTATGGAAACAGCACAACCACGGCTAGAACTAGAGAGAACTCAAACATGTATTTTGTGCCACAAATCATGCAAAAACAAAGTTGAACCTTCTATTTCTTATTTTTTACCAACACTTTATTCGTGCTTCCAGCAGTAAAATATACAATTTTAATTCCTTTCCACGTTGTCTGCTGTCTGTTCTGTGTAAACACAGCCTGCAGTTCAGCCCAAAAGTCCCTGATGTTTTTTGTGACATGACTGTTGGTCACAGCTGACACACTCATGGCTTCATGACTGCACTAAGGAGCAAAGAATGTTTTAGTTTTTCACAGAATCTGCTGTTACTGGTTCATTTTTGGCAAAAATATTAAACGTGGCATGTAGAATCAAAGTGATTTTGATTAAATGGCATAAATTTAAGCTGAGATTTGGTTCAGTTTTCTGGTGAAATAAAGCTTGAGACAGAGGAAGGAAGAAGCAGCAGTGTACAGTATTATAGGAAGTAATGTGTCTCTGAACATTAGAGCATGTAAACATATTCTAGCAGACCCCAAAAATAAAATGATGAGAATAGGTTCAAAATAAGCTCTTTGGGTCAGTAATTATCTAATCATCGGGTCAGTACACGACTATAAATCAAAGCAGCCAGAGGTTTGTGTCATTCAGCCCCTTTACAGCACAAAGGTGTGATACCCAGCGTTACACCCGCTTTTAATTTCCAGATATTTAAATATCTAGATGCCGCACACTGCTATTAAGCGCTTTATAAATGTTAACGTACACATTGCGACTTTTTTATTTGTCCACAATTAGTAGCAGATATTGTCTTAATTATTATGGCCCTGTATGTGCTTTTATTGCCACCGCTAATGATTGCTCATATAGAGAGCCGTAGATCAGCAGTTCTGAGCCAAGATTGTTCTCCTGAGTCCCGACAAAGTGTCTCAAGGCAAAACCGCAGCTAAATTGAAAGTTTCTAGTGCAGCACAAAGAAAGTAATGTACCACCAAAGCAAGGTCAGCTCCAACATCAGTGATGCTGGGCTTAAAAAATACAGTTTAGATGAATGGTTTGAATTGCAAAGCAGCGTTTTGCAAACCGCCTCTTCCATATTAAAACATGTCACAGCGTTCAGCAGGGTTGAATTACATGTGTCACTTTTGCAGCCCGGGAGACGGCCGCGTTTACGGATGCATCCAGCTTTTATAGCAGCACTCTGAGAGCAACTGTAAAGTCGCAGATTGAGGCTGCATGTGATGCTAATGCAAGTTGTCAATTTCCAGAAACACAAGCTGCCTGTTTTAAAGTGACTCCTAGTGGTCGTATTAAAAAAAGACACCGTTGGACAGCATGTTACGCCACCCTTCACTCTACCAGGTCATGGTTACGGTTGCACAGTATTGGACAAAAACTGACATTGTGATATCTTGCTTTTCTGTGACATATATTGCAATATGATAAAAACACAGATGACTTGAATAACTCTATTTGGCAAGAATTAATCATCCTTGGGGTGATTTTGTTGGGGAGTGCATCTGCATAGAATATAAATAAAATAAAACAAAAAGGTGGAAGGAAAAAAAAAAGGTAATTGTAAATTGCTCATGTGCATAACACAGGAAGAGGCATACAAAATAGATGCTTGCTGTGGATGACATTCAGATCTGACTTTATGCTCATCATACAGAGCTTTGTGGTGCCAATTTAAAAGATAAAATTAACCTTGTTGCCTTGTGTAGCGGCAACAGTTCCCTGACAGAGTATCTGTTTTGGGTCAATGTCATCTTTTCTGTAGCCAAAATATTTCCATACATGTGATGTTCTGTTTTATTTTGCAACCAAATCTTCCTTTTCAGTAATTCTGTCCTGTTCCTCGCTCATTTTTTATTTTTTTTGACTTCTCTTTATTGAGGTTTGTATTTCTTTACAGGTCCAAAACAATACAAAGCTGAACCTTATTTTCTCACACTTTTTTTTTAAAACCATTGAACAGGCATGAACATACAGCAGATATCAAAAAGCAAACAGAGATTAAATAGAAATAAAGATATATAAATTTAAAAAAAAACGACACACAACACCAAACAAACAATCAAGATATTCACCCCTCTCCACCACCAGGGTGTCATTGTTTCTCAAATTGACTAGAACAGTGTTGACCTAATGAAAACTTGGCAAAGTCCAGACTAGAATGGGTCCATATTGTCCAGGATAGGTCGCCATATCTTAATAAATCCTTCAGTATTGTCATGAAGGGTGTAGGCCAGCTTTTCCAGAGGGAGTATTCTCAGGCCCTCCTTGTACCAGTCCTAGAGCTGTCCTTCGATATCCAGAATGTGAGAATTGTCTTTCTTGCTATATATATAAGAGAATTTGAATTAGTTCAGCATTGTATTTGTCCCTAGCATTGTCCACTTTGGCTGCCAAAATGCACTGAAAGAGGGGAGAGCTGCAAGTCATATCCCATTAAGATAATAACTTCATCCTTCACTTCAGACCAGAAATTTTGTATTTTGCCACATTTCCAAAACATGTATGTATATGTCCTCGCTCATATGTGGAGCCTGCATGTCAGCAATCAATAAAGTTAAAAAACAAACTCCCCCCAAAAAGCCGAAGTCAAAGTAAATGATGTACTTCCAGACTTCTGTTGTAGATGAGAACTGTTTTCTTTTTGCATTAAGCAGCAAAAAAAACGTGTTTGACTTAACGATGTCATTGCTGAAGCGATGTGCTGTGCAGCCCCAACGTAGGCTGGCTTTTACTCCTGCTTTAACTCCCGACGTTCTCGTTGCAGACGGAAAAGACGAAACTTCAACAAGCAGGCGACAGAGATCCTGAATGAGTATTTCTACTCGCACCTCAGTAACCCTTACCCCAGCGAGGAGGCTAAAGAAGAGCTGGCAAAGAAGTGTGCCATCACAGTGGCCCAGGTACACCGCAGATCACTGCCTCCTCACACCACCTGTAGGAGCAGAGCACCACTGCACACACAACACTGAGATGAAGACGATTTTTAATCTGAAGCTACTGTGAGCGTCTTGGCAAGTAACCTAATAATAGGTTTTGTGACTGTCATGAGTACAGACAGCTCCTCTAATCTTTTACCTTTCATTGAGACAACAAAGCACTCGCAGTATAAATATGCCATGTCATAAGATTGTAATCTTGAAAATCAAACCAGATAAAGCAAGTTTTGACCAGTGACTCTGTGTTTCTATTGAAGCTCAGCGCAACACTGCTGTCATACTTCTTATTTATAGCGTCACATAGTAGAGCAGTTTGTTTTTTTTTTTACAACCCACAAAACAAAGCCTAAACACAATCCAAGTATTATTACAAACTGCACCACAAAGGTTTATAGAGCAGATATACATGTATTCATGTATACTGCATGTTTACTTTGTGGCTAGTCTTCAAATTAAATAAAAAAACTCAGAGGTAAAGCCCTGAACTCTTTTGAAAGCAATGTGACGATTAACCCTCTGAACCTCAAAACCCACAGGCTGGTTTGAAAGTGACATTATCTTTAAAATAAATCTCCAAAATTGCACAATTTATCAGTCAGAAACCATAACAAACAGAAACAATCATTGTTACTTAACCCAATCAAGTGTAAAATTGTGATATTTCATCATTTACTTCTATATATCTCATTCAAAATTTTGCCAAAGGAAAGTGTTTCACATTCTGTAATAGCCACGAGTGATTCAGTAGCGACCAACAGTCAAATCATAAAAGTATAGAGCCAAATTAGCTGAACTGGGTTGAACTGCGAGCTGTGCTCTAATAAACAATCAAAGAAATTCAGCTTTCTTTTTTCCTTTTTTTTAATGATCTATGGCATTATAACTGCACATGATAACATTTTGAGGTCCCTCTGCCTGTAGCTATGGTTGTGCTGTTTCCGTAGAGGTGCAGGACTTTATAATTGAGTGAAAAATGATCTCACAGTGAGTGGAAATGTGACAGGACGGGAGACAAAACAGCCACAAACTGCTTGGAGTTCAGAGGGTTAATCGACAGCTACTTTCACCTAATTAGCAAATCCATCAGCTTCTGAAAGCGGATGTCTGTGCTGATCTCCTACGATTTTGACAATAATTTATCAAGCATCCAAAAACCCGTGAGATGCAAGAGGAGTCAAATATTTAGGCACCTTGATTTTTTTTTTCATTTTTGCATTCTAGCACTCAAGTTGTTTCAATCCTGTGAGAATTGATAATAAGGAAAGCAATGACAACGCCAAGGTAAACAGCAGTTTGTGTTTTGAATCCATCATTTGGGAATGGATTGTTTTCTCGATTGGTTTCATTAATTTATACCAAATGATTGGAGGATGCAGCTGGGCCTGATTGTGGAAGCTGAATGATTTGTAGAGTTTCCATTTCTTGGCCATAATAAAGGAGAATGTTTACCTACTCTGTGTATTGGAAACTTTGCAGGATTGATTTGGTTTTCATTTTAATGTTGTTTATCATTAGCGCTGGGATTACCCCCCCGGCTTCATCTGGGAGTCCATTAGCCGTAATGGGTGTTAGCGGATGTTGACTGATTGGTGCTTGCGTGAGTTCTGATGATAGCTGCAGTCATGGTGACATAATGAGACTGTTATTGGCAATCATTCCATCCTGGCACTAATGCAGATTCACAGCACCAGTCTGTGTAGCCGCTACCTCTGACAGAGGCTCTCTGCAGTGTTACACGTGCCATTAAGGCCATGCAAGCTAAACGCTGCCGTGATTTTTCTGAGAGGCTCTGTGCGGTAACATGTCACGAGAGTTAAACTATGCCCTTTTGTTTGTCTGCTCAGGTTTCCAACTGGTTTGGGAATAAAAGAATCAGATACAAGAAAAACATTGGTAAGTTCCAAGAAGAAGCCAACATGTACGCTGCGAGAACTGCCGTGAATGCGGCTAATGCATCCTCACATGGAAGCCAAGCAAATTCACCCTCAACTCCAAACTCTGCAGGTGAGACAGGAAGTCCCTGGCTCTGCTCAGCTATTAGACATGTACCTCCTCTCTGTGCATTACTACAGCTAAGCAGTTTGAGGCTCTTTCAATGCTGATGCTGGTTATTTGTAAGGGATGAAAGAATTAGGGCTTTAAAGGAAAAGGCAGTTCTTCTACACAGAACACGCCTGTCACCTGGTAATGCACCGTCATTTTATTGAACAGGTTTCCCCTAACAAGTTTAACTACCCCTCTAGAGCAAAGCTGTGTCAGAGATTAGCCAACCTGAGCCCCATGCCAAGTCTCCATATTCTTACTGTCCTTTTGTCTTGGTCTCAATTAACCGTATTCTTCATGTTTTTAACTCTGTATTCATCGTGGTCTGTGCTGCTATTCAAAGGATAAGTCTGGTGATATTCTGTATTTTTCTTATGGTCGACAAATCACATACGATTGACAAGAACCAATAATGATCATAATGATGAACTGATCGTGCTATTCTTTCCATTGAGCGTCACTGAGCCACAGTGTCATGCTGATGTTTCTTCATTACAGTGAACACACGTATCTCCGCTGCAGAAACTTGTGGGCTGTTTAAGGGCATCCAGAACCTTTGTGCATGTTCCTACCACAAGAACCAAACCTCTTTCAAGTCCATTTTAAAGCAGTATCGACACCAGGGTTGGTACTACTAAGCAACCCTAAAAACTGCTGGAAAGGGTTGTTCCTGTAAACTTTCACTTTACCTTACACCTGCCCCGAGTTCCTGCAGCGGGAAGCCGTCTGTTGTAGTTTATTTTGAGTAAATCCCACATTCACTTTCCTGATACTGCAAGTACTCAGTTGAACATAGAATGTGTATTTATAGGCGGCTAACAATGCCCCAACAGACTATAACTTTAATTTCAGTCACATTTGCTATAAACCCCAGTGTTTGACTGTTTTAGGAAACATTTTTTGACCCATTTTTTGAAAAGTGGGGTCATCAGTGGGAACAATGGGCTTCGAGTTGAATGTCAAAGACGGGGCAGGAATATGAAAGGTATAGAGAGCCACATACTACGTTTTAAAAAGGAAACAATCTACTTTTACTTCTCTAGATTTATGTGACAGGTTCGGTTACTTTACAAATGATGATTTTGCCACACTGAACATGTACATACAAGTGTACTGAAGATGTCACTTTGGGCTCTAGTGACAACATTTATTACTATTTTCTGAACTTTTTCCAACCAAACAATCAGTTTCTTGTGGCAAGTGAAAGTGGGCGGTGATCTATCCACACATACCCTTATTTCCTGAACAAGAGCTACTAAAGCTAATGGAACAGAAGCTAGCCCGCACAAGAATTCATGACAAACACAATTCATTTTGAAGATAAAATATTAATTAAAATGTAATAAATAAAGTATAAAAAATATTGAATAATGCCAGACTTATCTTTTAAAATGAGAATCTTGTCTTTTTGAGAAATGTTTGCATTTGCTGTCTTACTTTAAATCACATGAAACCTAGCATTAGCGGGGGAAAACAGCTAGTTTGTGGTAGCATTGTATTCTGAGAGATCAAAAAAAAAATAATTTTCCTTTTCTTCACCACCATAAAACTGTCTTTTACATGTTCTATCCTGTTTAATCAAAAGTCGCCTATTTGATGCTTGATTTGTTTGAAACAAGGTTACGAAACCTAAGCTAATAGTTGCTAGCTGCCTAAGTGAGTACACCCATGTGCCATATCACTGAACTGAAACTCTCTGCAACAAAAGTCAGTCAGCATGGAGGATACCAAATTTCAAGTGAAATGTTCTGCCAAATTCTCAGTGATTATTTATTTCAGCTGCTTTTTGTTGGAGGGGTTGTGTTACTCTGATTTCGTCTGTAAAATACCCCAAAGAGGTTTTAGTGGAATCAGATCAGGCGTCATACTTGGCCAGGTCAAAGTTTTCACTTTTCCCTTCTTTACAAAATCTTGCTGGAATATTCCTCCTCTGCCAGACTTGTGCAGCCTGGGAGTCATCTTGTTAGTTGCCAGTATTTTGGAATATCAACAGACATTTAATAAATGTCACCTGTCCAACACCTTTTACATTCATACAGCCCCGTATCCCCACACTCCCACCTCTGTTCGTCACTGTCAGGACGATACGTTCACTGCAGTGGTCCCAACCAGGTTAATGCCAAACATGCTGGACCCTACGGACAATATCAACAAAATTATCTTGGTCTCATCTGACCAAAGAAAGGGTATTTCTCCTTGTATGCGGTCTATAGAGGCCGATGTCCTTCACACTGTCTGAACTGGTAAAGAAGCTCCGATGACCTCAGATAACCTCTATGCCTTAAGTACTTGCCTGTTGGTTTTTCAGAGCTAGACTGTGAAAGTCGTCCACGGTATGTTGGGAGTGCAGCACTAAATAATCTACTGTTAAACACAGAGATACTGCAATTATCGAGGAGTGATGCAACTTGTAAGAATTCGACATTTAGGTGATATTACACATGGGTGTGTGGTGCAGCTGTGTAGGACAGCAAGTGCATTTCTCACGATGTTGGACTGCTTCTTCAATTCTATTTTCCTACTATATCAACGACTTGCCTTTTTGTGTGCTTGGTGTTAAAAACATCCTCGACACACAGCTTTTCTGTCCTCTGTTAGCTTCCTCTCGGCTCCTCTGATCTAACAAAGCCTTGTCTGGCTGCGAGCTAACCTCCGCATGCTGCTCGTCTGGGCTGCTGCCTGGACGGGCCAACCTGCTTCCTCTGCTTGCTCTCTGTCTCTCTGTGATTCGACTGCTCCCTCTCTCCTTTCAGGTTCTGGTGGCTCTTTTAACATGTCAAACTCCGGGGACTTGTTCATGAGCGTGCAGTCTCTCAATGGGGACTCGTACCAGGGGGCTCAGGTGGGAGCCAACGTGCAGTCGCAGGTAGGGCAGAACTGAAGATGATACAGGGGGGCAGACCCACTACTTTTCTTATTCACCTTTCTAATGGCAGACTTTTTGACTTGTAAACAGGTGTTGCTAGTAATACGACTCACAAATATCTTACAACCAAGACACAATGGATGCAAATGGACTTCTTTTGTGATATAGAGAAAAGTCTAAAAGAGTTCAATTTAGTCCATTGTGCACCAACAGGTTTTGAGTTATTCAGCCAGTGACAAATTCTGGACCACTGAGTCAACCTATAAACGGTCATCCTAAAATGCAGCTTAATTCAAATGAAACGATGCCACACATGACACGAGAACGGGCTGTTAGCATGTTGTAAGCTGGTGTGTCAGTCAGGGCCGTGGCCAGGCACTTGAATGTCCACAACGCCACCTTTTGTTATCCAAGAAAGCAGTTCAGACAGCTCTGGATTGACATGTCCAACAACGAGATTCTGTCTCCTAACATGTGCGTCAGCTTTGTCAAAGCCTTCAGGAGGAGCAGGACAAAATTCCACAAGCAGCATTGGACAACCTCATTAACTCTGTGCATTGCAGATGTTAGACTAGGTGCTGACTTGTGATCTCTGGTCTGTGGCCCCACCGTTCCTTTGGCACAAAGGAGTTAAACACTATGTAAAAGAACTGGTTAGTTTTCCACTGTAGAAACTTGTGGGCTGTCACAGGGCGTACTGTGTGAATGCCACATTGATTGTTCAACATAACGTTTGCACCAGACTCTGTAAGAATCCAAAAATTCTGCACTGTGAAGCCATTATTCAGGGACTTTTCGGCTGAACTGCAGGCTGTGTTTACACAAAGCAGACAGTAGACAATAGTAAAATATCTGTAGTAAGTAGAGTCGTTTCCTCCCAACATTTGTAACAGCTGTGGGTACTTGGAAGAATGTTGGACATGTCGATTCCAGTTTTTTAAATTTTTTGGCAAATGAATAATGACAAAAATGTAACTTTACTTTAACCGATTTTCATCATTTATGACATTATAATTGTGTTATACAACGTGGAAGACATTTCTAAGTCATATCTACTTCCAGCCATGGTTGTGCTGTTTCTATAGCGATGCAGGGTTTTATATTGCAGGGAAAAATGAGCCCACAGTGAGTAAAAATGTGGCAGAAGTAAAAACTTGCTCGGGGGCTTACAGGGTTAATCAACATTTTTGTAAATGTGCCGGTAATGCCAGCTGGCTCATTTTCAACTGCAGCGCTTTGGCAAGATGCTGTTAGACATGATGCTGGTAACCTAAATATTACTAACCTTGCTTGCATGGACGCACTTGTTCAACTTATTTTCCAATTAACATTGTTTACCCCAGTCTTGAGCACAGCTTCTATAAAACCATCAGCTGACTTGGAGCTTAATGAAAAAGAGCCGTCATTAATGTTATTAATTACACCTGTGTTTTTCTGCTAAGTCAAAAAGTCTGTTGTGAAAAAGGACTAAACTCTCTACAGAGACTCTTCAAGGGCAGAATATTTGTCACCATGTGAATAGTTTAATTTTGGCGAGCAAAAAGCAAACATTTCTTTATCCAGACTTTCTCTTTTTGTTTGATTGGACCTTGTTGTCTCCAAGGACATGCTTGCAGCAGTGTACTCTTGTTGTTTCTCTTGTTGTCTTGTCATCCCTCTCTCTTTTCTCTTTTGCTTCTGTTGTGTTGACTCTGACCTTGCTTTGTCTGCTGTTTCTGAATGTTTCAGGTGGATACCCTTCGCCATGTTATCAGTCAGACAGGCGGATACAGTGAAGGACTCACAGCCAACCAGATGTACAGTCCGCAGGGCATCAATGTAAGCATTCTTGTTTTTTTTCCTTTCTCTCCCTACCAATTATTTCAAAGCCATAGGGCTCAGAATGCCACTTAGTAGGACTTGTCTCCGCTCCATGGTCACCTAGTTGATTGCTTCGCGTATCGCTCGTGCCACGGGCAGCGCGCTGCCCAGCGTACGCAGGCGTGGCCGCACACATGCAGGGCCGCCGTCTGAGCCTGTCATGTTCGATCAGGCCTGGCGTAGCACCTGCAGCCACGTACGGACTGCCGTGAGAGAACTGCACAAGCAGGTGACACCTCGTGTGCCGGACTTCAAATCCCTCCGACCACCTGACCTATGATTAGCAGCCCCGAGGCCAGAGGCTCCCATTAATGCCTCCCGGGTGGCAACGCCTAAAAATAAAACCTCACGCTGCTGGAAAACAGCTCCTCGTGTGCCACAGGGGCGTGTTCCCGATGTGTTTGTCTTATTTTGCAGCAGAGTTCGGGTATGGAAGTCGGGGGTTGGGGGGGTTGCTCGCTGGCGGCGGCAAACAGTAGGGAAATTCACAGCGACAAGCCGTGTCGTAAAGGGGAAAATCGATAAGACAGACACAAGGAGAGCAGAGTGTGGACTTGGGACAGCAATCCAAGCGCATTGCTCAGATCATGTTCCTGCCACACTAATGGCCCTGACAGCGAGCCGCGCTGAGAGGACGAGGACGGTCACAGCCGCGGCTGGGTTCCTCCGCTGTCGTCGTCGTGCCTCACCGGCCATATGATAATCAGATGAAATGTCTCCCGTATAAAAACATGTATGTGTATTCAAATAAGGCTCCCTGGCTGCTCCGAGCGCATCCCACAGCCAGCTGTGCTAACCCTGAGAGGCCGCTAACGTATTCAGGCCCTGTTCTTCCTCAGTCCTTTGACCTCACAGATACGGTTCTCCTTGGACGCCTGCTTGCTCTACCACATCTTACACTGCCACAATATGCTGTGTTATTCACTTTTATACCCTGTAAAGGAGCCCTGCGATGCATAATGTAAGAGCAGGATATCTGTCTGCCAGCCTGTTTGCCTGTGATTTATGTAGCCAAGGCGAGTAAGTTAGGAATTTTTGCTTTTCACTTGTTTTTTTTTTTATTATTATTTATTTACTACAAGATGTGCACTGCAGTTTGGTTTGATATGGTATTTTTTGCCAGTGGCTGTATTTTTTTTTTTGCCAAAGTTGTTCATCTTTGACAGAATACTGTGGCCTTTTTAGGCCACAAAATTAAGAGCTCCAGATGCATTATTCTACATAAATTATAGCTGACTGACATTTTTTACCAATGCCATTTATTACTCATCAAAGAGACTGGAAAATCTTTGTCTTTACATTTAGTATAGCACAAACTCCAACTCAAAACTTTATTTATGTTTTTCATTTATACTTTAGTGTTGATTGGCTGTTACTTGTGCCATGTAACCAATCAGAAACTGCTGTGGGTGGGACTTTGCCAAAATACTGCATCTTTAAATTAATGAATTTTAGCGCAAATCAATTTAAAATGAAATAAAATAGAATAAAAAACAACACCTAGAATAAAAAAAGGAGAATATTGGATCTCACAATGAGCTACTCGGATAATTGGTTCACTGTTAATAAAAAAAATGTAAAAATATATTTTGAAACTACAAATATATATGAAAAGGTCTCCTACAACCTCCTAGCGGAAAAACTGTGTTGCACATTTGTTGTAAATTAAACACCCTGCATGAACAATTAACATCTCAAGACAGATTTCACTTCATCTTATCTGAACTTATGAATAAAAAAAAGAAAGAAAAGACAGATACATAGCGCACACTGTGGACGATTAGCGCCACAATTAGAACTGGGAAGCAGGCGGCACGTCACCAAAGTCAGACGCTCTACAATCTGACCTCTCCACTTCTGATTACACACTGCTGCCTTAAATAACAGGCTATGAAATGAAGGGCTGTCAAGGACCATTTCCAGTTTTTCTGATGGTTGTAAATTTACTATTAATATCCTAAATGCTCTTCAACAGGCCTGCCTCTGGTGGTGGGAAGGCCCTCCAGAGCTCATATTGTATGTTAATTCCAGCTGTCAGCGTCATAATTAGTGCACATGATTGTGCTCGTTTTGTTTCAGAGGCCCCTTCCGTACAATTTACATATATTCGTATTATTTGAAACGACAGCGACGGGCTTTTATTTCAAGCGAAAATCTTGACTTTTCTTGGGCGTATTGTCTTCATTACTTGAATTTGAGCGTGCGGCGTGTGATGGGGTACAGATTTCTCTTTGTTTTTGTTTTTTTTTTTTATGTCAGTCTCCTTCTGAAGTATTAGCGGTAATTTGTTAGCTTCAGGATTCAGTTTGGCTTTAGGCTGTGTGCAGTTCAAAGTATCCCAGCTTTCATACACCACCTCGCCCTCAGGACCTCCATTCAGTGTGTTCGAGCTCTGCATCGAGTAATGAAGACGAAAACAAACAGACTCACCCCCGCTTCTCCCTTTTTATTGTTTCCCCTCCCAGGCAAACGGTGGCTGGCAGGATGCTCCGACCCCCTCATCAGTGACTTCGCCCACAGAAGGACCTGGAAGCGTTCACTCCGACACCTCCAACTGATCCTCCTCCATCCTCTCGATCCCTACCTTCCTCCTCCACTGCACCCCCCCGCCCTTCTAACCCCCACCCCCAAAAAAACCCTGAACCCCCTTTTTTTGGGACTGGACGTGATGTGACACAGCTGGACACAGTCGGGGTCTGGGGATTTTCATCGATACGGACATAAAGTTTCCTATCTGGACCACCGTTAGCAGCCTGCGTAGGGGACTCATAGCCACACTTCACAGTTTGTACAGTTTCCACTTGATGTCCATGCTGCCTCTTTGTATTTCTCTTTACATTATGTACCTTTACATTGTGTAGGCTCACCGTTAGCAGCATATCGCCCCCACGTCCTGTAAATTGAAATGCTTTCACACTACCTCTATTCGACATAACAACTGAGCAGACGACATTTAAAATGCTTCGGTTTTACAAATTTTTATAATTATTGCAGTTTTCACCACACTATGCCCCGTCACTACACTGTTGTTTTTTTTTTTTATTAACGCTGTTTTTTTTTGTTAATCTATAGTGCCAAAGTTCAACCCTGGAGGTGAATTTTGATAATGTTTTTAATCTCGTGTCCTTACATTTCTCATGCCATACTTTGTGAAGTATTATTAGTCGGGTGTTATCCAAGTATTCAGCCTCAGTTTATATCATTTGTATTGAGAATTTCTCCAAGAGACATATAAGGCATTTTATATTTTCTCGTCACAGTGGCGACGTTTTCTGCTCACGTGCAGTACAGCAATCTTCGAGTATCAACTAATTCAGTAGCTGAAGTTCTATCGTGCACGTCGGCTGTACCCATAAAAAAAAAAAAAAACGAGCTGAAACTCTTGAATTGGTAGCAGCGATTACGGCAGGTCAATATGTTTTAAAGCACAATAGCATCTACCGATTGAAGTCAAAAGGGGAACATTTGTAAATGTCAAAGAGAAAACAGTTTAACTCTAGTAGTCATACTATACAGTACATTATCAGATAGCGTATGTATGTGTATCAGTGACATCAATATAGCCAAATACTGCTGGTAACCAAATCCAAAAGGAAAATTCTGATTTTAAGGTATTTTACACATTGCATGTCAGATTTCACACTCACTTTTCTCGTATGGAATTATATTTGTGGTCAAAATTTTGACAACGTGGCGGCTCAGTTTGAGCACAGAATAGACTTTTTTTTGCTTTCTCTGCAAAATATGCTTTGCGTACGAGCGAATGAAACACGCGTCGGCGCTGTGTGCTCAGAATTCAGGCACAAATATAACTCCATGTCCATTCAGTGTTGATCAGTTTACGTCCTGTACCAACATCAGAGACTTTTTTTTAAAATGGAACAGTGTTTATCTTCTCAGTATTCAAGAGTCCCTTCACTTTTTGTTTTTGTTTTCACACTACATTCATCGACAGAAGCCAATCCAAAATGTGAAATTAAAATTGTGACCTTTGTTGTATGTACAGTATAGTATGTGGTCTAATGTATACATGATTACAGTAGTCCTCATGAGATATCAGCATTTACATACTTTGATACCAAAAAAAAAAAAAAAAACAGAAATGGCAGAATTTTTATCTTCTACATTGGGATCAGCTTTATCAAGGTTTTTGTTTTTCCACTTTTGGAAGCATTTTATTATCTGCGGTACTAGTGGGCATCCCATAATGCTCCAGTACTCTGTATTCAAAGCCAAAAAAAATGCCGTTGGAATACAGTAGTGTTTATATAAACTAAAATGGAAACAAATACCCTGATGGCACACAAATCCAGATGATGTTTGGATATATTTTTATGTCTCCATTTTGTGAATAAGTCATCTTTATTTTGTTTTGTTTTTTCTTCATTTGATTTTTTTTTCCTTTTATCCTACCATTATATGTGAATTAGCCCAAGAATGCTCTATATACAGTATGTAGATATGCACCGTTACTCTTCTTTTGCATCTTTGAATTTGGACAGTAGCTATTTTAACGGAGCCTGTTTGAGTTTCTGTTGGATTTAGGGTGAAATCCTTTTTATTTGTTTTGTACTCAGACCATCGACACGAGCCTGCAGCCGAGATGGCTACTGTCCCAATGAAGGTGGCGTGAAAAGTTAGTGTCAACATCGCCCTCTGGCTTTGTTTTTAGCTGAACTGAACTCTGACAGGAAACTAAATTCAGTCCCACGATCCCAAAAAGTCACAAAACAGCCTGGTATTTTTTTTTAGCAGTTGTCAGTGTGTTTGTATTTATTACACATGTATGAAATCATGGATGTTTCAGAGCTACAGCGTGGCGGTTTGACTACAGCAAACATTCGGATGACTCAGAGCGGCTCCCCCCTCGACTCACCTGCTCAGTATTACAGCCGAGGGGCCGAGCACCATTGAAGTGATGCACAGAACCTGCCTCAGTCGTGTCTTCGGAAGTCATCGGCGTGAACTGACAGCGGCGGCCATGCAAGGCAAACACGAGGATTGTTTTTGCACCCCTCAAAAAAAGGCTTAACTCTACTTTTCACATTGCCTGTCAAATATTATCGAAGCTTCATGTAATGATGCTTTTTAGTTTTTGAATATAAAAGGAAAAGAGACATGAAAAGAAAAATGAACAATTTGTAAAACATAAAATGTTTTATTTGTTGCATGTCTTTTTGTTCTTCAATAAAATAACGTACTGCAGTGTTTTGAATGTTAACTTCTTTTTTATAAGGATTTCAGAGTGAAATCGTGGAGCCTTTTTCTTGACAGGTTTTAACTTTTAAGATCTCTGCGTATGTAAAAAGGTATCAAATGGAAAACTATTGTCTTTTTAATTCCAATTCAAAACCTGTTTTCTGTGGAGAAAAATAGCTGAAAGGTGTAGGTTTTATGGTCTCTTAATTTGTACTGGCAATGCGTATCCCAAATAAATAGTTTCTTTTGTTGCATAAATTGCAGTTTTGTCATTCTTCCTGCTAACTTTCATGTGCTGTTTGTGCATTTTCAACCACAAACTTGAGTGTGCTTTCTCCTCCAGACTTTTGTAACAGGGTCAGGGTCAGAAGTCACTGTAGGACACAACTTAACACGTTGTAGACTTGTCAGTCCGACACCTCTGGATAACATTGCACGTCTCACTTCCAACTATGCCGTGGCACGGAGGCATTTTATCACCACTAACATAGCGCCGGAGCTCGGCCGAGCTGCCGAGGGTGTGAAGGGGACATTTTCACAGTTTTCGAAGTGAGTGAAAGCTGTGCGCTCCCGGCAGACAGACGCCTCCTCTACCCCCCACCACCCTTCCCCACACCCAGCGCTCCCTCCGAGGCATGGCTAATGTGCGTTCCCTGAAAGAGGCGGAATCCACACTTATCTCTCTCCTCCAGATAAACCAGACAGGATGTCTGATTCTGTTCTTTCGATTCATCCTTCCTCTGGAAGGGAAGGAAAAAAAAGGAGGAAGGGGTTCAAACATTAACTTGTGGATTAGGACGAGGTTCCCAGGAGCATCCGAAATCACGGAGCGTGACAGAGACTGTGGGAGTGACATATGCAAACATGATCAAGTGTAATTACATGGAGAAGCCTCCTTGTTTCTATCAAAGGGCTTCTTTTAGCCACTGTTCAAGGTGCTGGACGTGTATAATGTATTCATGTGCTCCTGCAAACCAAAAGCCATTGTGAGGCTGATTCAGTCATTACATGGTGAAAAGGTGTAAATCCCATTCGGAGTAAAATCACTGTTGGCTCTTTTGAATTTCTGATTCCTCTAACAAACGGGCTGGATAACGTGCTGCACCATGACGAATGCTGTGTAGGTTTCTAAGAAGACTATACTGATCATTATCCATTTTACACAGTGAGAAGATGCAAATCCAGTCAGCTGCAGAATCAGCTGCAGAATCTCAAGTCCTTTATCCATTGACAAAACACTGGAGTGAAATATAGATAAAGAGTAATGAATGAAATGGGTCCTATGAAAATCCACAACATTATCTTTTCCTGCCATTTTACTCAAACTCATTCACTCTAAAATCCAGCTGAAGAATGAGAATCAGCTGGCAGGTGTTAATATGTCGACGTACAACAAAGAGGGCAGGTCATTAAGAGCCATTTAGTTGATCATTTGCAAGTCAAAAGCCATGTAATCTTGGTTTAAACCCATTTAAATTTGGTTAAAAAGTAAAGGTTTTTATGTTTATGCTGAGCAGACTTTTATGTCTTCAAATAAAACAATCTATAATATAATATCAGAATAGTATTTATGCTTGCATATGTCACTCCATTCATCTACGTTAAATATGTAAATATACCCTAATTTCATTAACATGACAAAAGATTTGTGGATTTTCACAGACGGCAGTTTGACATGCAGGAAAAGCACAGGTCTGAATGAGAAAATGAACGATGGCCGAGTTCCATTTAGCTGCTTCAGTTTTCAGAGGTCTGGTAGTGTGCATGCTGGTCCACATGCTGCTGTTGTCATAGCATGACTGGGACGCTTTAGTAGACCAGAGCCTCCACTGACGCTTTATATAAAGGTGAACAACATGACAGCTCCACACAAGTACAGCCAAAATAACGCCCCCTGCTGCCTGGTTGCTGTAAAGGTATCAGGCCTCAACCCCCCAAACAATGGGCCACAAGCCAAACTATTTAAGATGAGTTTGTTCAATTTTTCTGATCAGTTTGTCATTGATTAGTTGATGCTATGTCGTTATGATTGACAGCAGCTCAGAATAAAGTGGAGGCACCTGCAGAGCTTTGCTCAGCAACTGTACACAGGCTGGTCAAAACGACATTGATGTTTGGATCCAATATGGCTGTTAAGGGAACAGCTAAGGGAAACTTAATCTTCAGTTTGGTTCTGTTTAGTTTTTTTTTTTTTTTTTCACATTTTAATGATGTGAAAACCTTGTTAGACATTTTAGGAAAATCCTTAATGATGTCTGAAACCCACCTTCAGATTTGTGAAACCTTTATTCTATTTGTGAAAATGCGAGAAAAAAACAAACAAACATCACAGCTGTTTTGTTTGTTTGTTTGTTTTTTTTAAGATACCAGGTCCAGATCTAGAACGACGATATACAGACTGGTCAGATTTGGACCAGATTATGCCAGAGAGGCTACACAGTCTTTGAAACACAGTCTCTGATTTGTAAACCTGCTTTGTTTTTGTATGTATAACAAAAAATGTTGCTGCTTATTGTAGACATGAATGCAGGTTCCAATCTAAAACCATGATATAATTCCTCCTTTATTTAATTTCTATAAATAAACTAAAGAGTTTACAAACCAGATATTGTGTTTTAGAGACTCTTTGGTCTTTCTGGCATAATCTAGTCCAGACTCGACCAGTCTGTAATCAGGGGTTGAGATCTGGAGCAGCTCACATGTGGTCCAGTTGCATAAAACAGCAGTGAAATGTTTCTTCTCTGCATGTTCACAAGTAGCATAAAGGTTGTTTGAAAGTGACAGCATTGAGGGTTCACCTCAAATGTTCAACACAGTTTAATGTTAGCAAAATGTAGAAAGAAAAAAAAACAAAACAGAATCAGTAGCTCGGTACTGCAAGTTAAGTTTCCCTTAAGTTTTCCCTTAACTGCAGGATTGGAAGCTACCTTCAAGGTTGTCATGTAGAGACTGTTCCTTTTCTTCATCCTGTGGTTTATCGCTGTCTGCTACAAACTACTAAATGAGTTTTTCTTCAGTAAACTACACTAAACAATATTCTGATGGATCAGGCAAACCATGGCAGTTCATCAAGTCATTAAATTAAATTTGTATTTTGAAGGAACACTTAATTATTTAGAGAGTTAAGGGCACGATTAATCAGTGGTAAAAAATAATAACAATTAGTCGGTACGCATCTAATTTGCTACACAATCATCAGTTAGTGATTTTTTTTTTTTTTTAATGATATTCATATAGCAAACAATATATAGAGTATATTGATAGAACAGCAGCTGGTCTTCTGACCGCTGTTTTAATTCAGAATGAAATTATATTGAGTCACATGGTCATTTTGTTTGTATATATATTAAATGTTCGATAATATCTGTTTTCTGTCACTTAGCTAATTTGAAAAATAAATAATTACAGAGAAAAGAAGCATGAGTTATGTGTTTGGTTCTGACCTTAACATTTAAGGTTGATTTGTATTATATAGAAAATACTGCAAGGGCTTGACTTTCATATTTAATTTAGTCAGATTAATTTGTATTTTGTATAATTTCGAGGGGTTTTAACTTTTTATTTGTAACACTAATCTCATTTCTCTACTGAGAAGCGCTTTGGCTCAATAGCTGTTGTTTTAAATGTGCTCTATAAATAACTGCGACTTGACTTCCTGTCAGTTTGTAAAACAGACCTCCTGGCTAAACAAGCTGCGTATCCCTGATCTACCGGAACACCTGTAACACCTTTTGCTGCTGTGACAAGTCAAAATGTCTGCAGTCAGTGAATGTCATAGCTGCCATCAAGGACACTGAGGTCATGTCCTCTGGAACATCTCTGCATGACATGAAGAGAAGTGAACACAGAAACCTGGCTGATGTACAATTTGACTTTTTTGGCAAAAAGAATTTAAAATAAACAAAGAAATGTAAAAAGGCGTCTAATATTCTACTCCAGATTATGCATAATAAATTACTATCAATCAGTGGGTTTTACTGTTTTCCAGTGGTGAGATGCACTTTTACAGTGAATCACTCAAACCACACAGTTTCAGTGCTGTGTGTGTATGTGTTATACTTTTTTTTGTTTGTTTTTAACCTCAGCTCACCATTTACCTGTCCTTTTGACATTATGGTTCACTAGTAGGCAGTCAAAACTGACGCGGTAGATGCCGTGTTTGTAGCCTATACTGCCATCTTGTGCAGGAATACTGGAGTATAGTCACAGCATTTTACAAAGGTTGATTGGTTACTGAATGAAAATGTAGATCTCCGCTGTCCCAAGTTCATTTCCATCCATTTTCTGCAGCTAGTCTGGAGTTGGGTTGTGGTGGCAGCAGGCTCGTGCAGATGACTGTTTGTGGAGAACCGCTTGGGGCATCCCAAAGTGTTTCCAAGCTAGATGACATACACAATGTCTCCCGTGAGCTATGGGTCTGTCCTCATGTGTCTTACAAGTCTTTGAAGACACATAGAACACCAGAACTACCTTCATTGTCTTCCATTCCACAGCAGCAAGCAGGGCCCACTGCTTATATCTGAGCTCCTTCATCCATGTCTCTATAGCATACACTCGGGGCTCTCAATCTGAATCGAGGGAACAAGCGTGGGACCGTATACGGCGTAAGACGAATGTAAGACAAACAGATAATCTCATCTGTCTTCTTTGACCTCATCAGTTGAGTACATCTGAGCCTTCTCATCACTGGAACTTCAGATCAATCATCCTCAACCAGACCTCAACGCATGTGGCACATGCAGTCGGGCTCAGGGCTCACATTATATCAATGACAATAACAAGGCTCATCAAGGGGCTGGACCCATTCACAACGCATAATATGCATCAGTTACATCAACGCCTGCCAGCATGTACACACACACACACACACACACATACACACCAAGACTGCACAAATGTGCCTGAGGGAAAGGCTGCTGAAGCAACGATGCAAGGTCTGAGGTCTGCACCATAATGGAGAGGCTTTGTCTCAAGGAAAGCCTCTCCATTAATAAGATGAAACAAGTCCTCCTCTCCGCTGATGGATCTCGTATGAATCACAAAGTAACTCCAAAGAAAAAAAAAAAAAAAAGGTTCTGCAGGAATAGGGTCAAGTAATTAGTGACTGTGGGTGTGTTCCAGTCAGTGTTGCAGAGTTCAGATTTGGAAAGTGTTCAGTTTGGCAAAGCCTCAGTACACGTATTGCCTATGCCACCCACAGATCTTTAATGAATTCCTCTGATCCCAACTTTCATAAAGAAGGCATTTGGAAAAGATTTCACAGATCAGTGTGCGTCATCGTAGCCTTTCAAGTTACTTCAACCGTGGAACATTTGAATTAGAATCTGCAGTATATTTAAGTCTTTCTTGGGTGTGGGAGTTTAAGGCTCTAAACTGTTTCTTTATATTTGCCTAAAGCTTCCATAATGAGCAAGATATGGACCTTATCATGTACAGGAAAAATAAAAAAAACCTTTAAAACCGTGCCAGGAGATGCTTTTATTAAAGGAATGAGAAAGTTATCTCTCCAAAACATGAATCAAAAATGAAACAAAAAAAATAATTTTTGCCCAGATGATCAAGGACGTTCAGAAACGGGGCTGTTGCAATAATTATCGCAGTCACTTCCAACGACAGAAGCGGGATCATTCACGTCCGTTCTCTTGCTGACTGTGAGCTAATTTGTTTGGGGGTTTGTGTCGGTGTTTTCATCTTCTTAAATGTTTTTGCTTGCGTTTCTGGACATGAAGTCATTTGACACATTTGGTCACAGCGATGTGTCGCTTTAGAGGGAAATCCTGTCTTTTCGAAAGATAGCAATGCTGATTATGTTGTCAGGATGGATTTATGTCTGGTTAAAAAAAACTGTCCAGTTACCCCTGCTCTGCGTACCCTGCTATATACTGTATATTGTAATTTAGGAGGCAGCTGTCATATTGAGTTTTGCCATTATCCACTACGTACAACAAGGCTCAGGGTTCGTCTGAACGCACTGGATGTGATTATAAAATCTTTGCCTGTCTCTCCTCACATACACAGTCTTCTATTAATTCAAATGGATATTCAAAGCAGTAGTTTCAGAAACCTTTTTTTTTTTTACAGACTAAAGCAGGTCTGCTGGCAGCCTCAGACTGTGTGTGCTAACGGTGAAACGCTGCTGACCCCTCATGGCCTGTGTGACTGAAGGTGTCAGAGAGCTGTAACAACACAATGACAGTGAGAAACAACGGGTAGGAAGCACAGACTGTCATTTAAAGGCTAGTTTACAAATAAAACATTTATAAAATAGAATTTTTTTTAAATAGAGTAAAATATATTAAAGACATATACATTGTACGGCCTTAATTTTGTTCCCTTTTTGCTTGTTTATACAATGCTCTATTTTCAAATGGTGCAGAAAATGAAGATAAACACTTATTACTAAATAAATATTGTAATTAAGTTAATGCATTCGTGCTTATTTTGTGAGGAAGCTTAGTTTCATCAAATCATACGAATTATACTACAGTTAGAAGCTGTTGAGAGGGCAGTTATTGGTACTCTACTAAGCTAGGCCATTAGCAATAAGCAGGGCTAGTTTATGGTGCAGTGTTACTTTTCTCTGCCGTTATTGTGCTACTGTTTCATTTATTTGGTTTGTTCATCTCAATCACAAAGATATTAGATCATCAAAACAAATTTTCAAAATAAATTGAGCAGGAGAAAGTGGGTACGCTAGCTTTAGCTAAGGCTACCTCACCAGCTAGCGTAACTAGCCAGATTAAAGGAATGCAGTCTCAAACATTACAGACATTCTGAAATTACTAAATAAATAAAGTCATTAAATCATGAATTAGTCTTAAACTACATATGATTTAAAGTTAGTTTAGTTTCGTAAAAACATGAAATTACACTACTGTCAGAAGCTATTGAGAGCGCTACTCCACTAAGCTAGGCTAGTTAGCTTTTAGCAGGGCTAGTTTATGGTATGTGTGTAGTGTCACTTTTTCCTCCTTTATTGTGCTACTGTCTTATTTGGTTTGTTAATCTCAATCACAAACATACTAGATCATTAAAGCTGATTTTTCAGTTCTACCTGGTAAAGAAAAAGTTTTCGGGGACAAGTGGGTAAATGAGCTTTAGCTAAGGCTACCACACCAGCTAGCATCAATTAGAGCGCAATCGTTGGACTTTTGCTTTTTTTTCCACCTTTCTGCCAAAATTTGACATTTCTGTTGTTTTTATGATCACGTCTTCAGTGAATTTTCACCACTTAGCTACTGCAGTTTGGTTTTGTGAAGCAGCATGAATGGATTACACTGAGACCCAGATGTTGTTTTATAACACTGAGGAAATTAATACTGTAATTGCATATCAAAAGACAATAAAGCTGAGATCATAGACAACACAGTCCACTGGTATGGCTCATATAAGGCTGTGATAGCAGTGATAGTGCGGCATTATTGTATGGGCCTCCCCACTGAGTGCAATTTAAATCAATGCCTGTATCTACCCTGCATGTCATTATTATGTTTTTCATTAGATGTGGGAACATTACAGGCCCTTGTGATGTATGTTTAACAACCATTTACCTTTATCACATTAATATCTTAATTCACAAACATAAATTGCCATTCATTGAGGCAAGATCACATTTTTTAAACACATTCTCTTTAACACATATTTTCCTCCACAATAAACTCTTTCACTTATAAGATCTTCAGCAGGTCAAACCTGTACCAGTCATTTTAATTTAGACATATCTTTTGTACAGTAACTGGATTCATTGATAAATATGATTTCAACATATTAATGTAAAAGTATTTTTTTAGCATGACTGCTCATTCTTTGAAAACTTAAAAATCTTCATCAGTGTCTTAGAGATGTAATTGAACGCTTCAGAAATGGCAAATAAATGACCTAAAAAATATTACAAGTTATTATTTACACTTGTTTTTGTAACGTATAAAAATTATGTTATGAAAAACTCATGTCAGAAATCCTGTTTTGTAGCTCCAAACCTACATCACTGGTGGACCTGTCAGACTAAATGTGTGCTAGGTTTATTTCTACATTTATCTTCAAGAGTTTTCAAAATTTCCCAGCAAGCCATACTGTTAAATACCTACAGTACATATCCACATTATACAGCTGGTTAACATGCTAGAGCTGATTGTTTCTTATCTTGCTTTTTAATAGAAACAAGGTTCAAACTTGGGTTATTTTTCCAAGTATCTCTGTTCTCATGTGTATATTTACTTATGCATATATTTACCTAAATAATCCATCGTGAAAATAAACTCCAACTTCAGACCTGAAATTGGAAATCTGCACAAAACTTGATTATCACACCAAAACAAATGTGACGACACGGTCACTGATGCATTTCTTATCTTAACCTGTATGCAAACAGGAAAAACAGAAAAACATTGTGCTATAAAACTGATAAACTACACCAGCCTAATGTACACGGCATCATTTGGCAATCAGGGCCTCATCTTACAACTTTGGGTGGAGGTTCAGCAGAAAACCTCGGCTGAATCTTTCTGTTTTGTAAGGTTGGGAGGACGCTGCTCGTTAGGTCTTTGTTTATAATTTAGACCTCATCTGTGGACGCAAGTGTGACCTTGTGCAGCTTTGAGCTGTCTCAGCAGAGCGTCTGACCACGGCGGCTGACACAGCGAGACGTCTGCCTGTTTGGGGACAGAGGGTGTATGTAGGTCAGCCATGGGCCTGCATGCTGTGACAGCAGCACGGTCACTGTGCTGTGCAGCGGGACAGGGATTGGAGTGGACAGAGTGAGCCGGCGCACAGAGAGGCCCCCCTCACACGTCAGCACCGATACTTCCTCATTTCCCCCCTTAAACACTTTGACATTATCAGGCCACACAGAGCAACGTCCACCCTCATTATTCTCACCTTTGGTACTGCAGCAAAATGGACAAAGACGAGCAGAGGAAGAGGAAACCGGCAGAAATGCGGAGCGGACATCAGATCATGGAGCCTGTCTAACATGCTGGGATGGTCATTTGATGGGGACTGTCTTGTCTGTGTCAACACGCTAAGAATGATTAGTTTCTTCATGTACACAGACAAGCAGAACCTTCAGTGTATCAACACATACCTATTTGAATATTGATTGAAATCTATTCATCACACAACCACATCGTCCTTTTGAAGATGTTTTATTGAAAAAGTGTCCAAAATACAGAGCAGCTAGAAATCCCATTAATGACAGCACACTGCCATCTAGTGGCTCACACAGTGACGCTCGGACGTGGGACTAAAAAATGGAAACCGGTTCAGTGACAGACAGAAGATGTGGAGACGTTTTCAGAACTCGCTAAATGTCACATAACCAGCAAGTTAGTCCTTTCCATGAACATAACCAATCAAAAGGTGTCTGTACTGTTCATGCTGGCGCTGCTGAGGCTGAGTCTCTGAAATGTAACGCATGCAAGTTGACCAGACGAGAAGGAAGGAGCTCATCGGTTGTAAGGATGCATCGAGCCAGATGCAGATTTGATGTTTGTTTTGATGCTGCTGGGCATCTTTCCTGAGAAAGAAAAACAGGAAGAGATCAGCTTAATGTAGTTTATACGATTGTTCAACCCTCTGAACCTCAAAACCCACCAGCGAGTTAGAAAGGCTCTGTTTTTAAAACATACAGTCGTCCTCAAATGTATTCATTCCATCCCAATAAAGAAAAGGCAAAATTCACAATAGTCCCTCAAATAACTAGAAAATGAAAAAAGTAATAATAAATAAAAAAATTGCTAAATCATAATTCTGTGAAATAAGACATTGTTTTTGAGTGGTTTAAAAGAATAATTTCAAAAAACAAAACTGTTCTGGACAAATGAGAGCACTTTGATGATGAGCAGTGGGTCAAAATCCAAATACCTGTCAACAGGTACAGAAGTCTGACTGAGAGTTACAGAAAACACCTGATTGCAGTGATTGGCTCAAATGGTTGTTCAACTAAATATAAGTTTATGGGTCCCATCATGCTTGTTTGTTTGTGTTTTCTTTAAAAAAATATTTCTGTTGAACCACAATTCAAAAGCAACGTCATGGTTTTCATTCAATTTTTATTTATTCTTACTTTTGTCAATTTCAACTTATTTCAGTGACACCTGTCTTTTTCCTTCTTTAATGAGAGAGTATGAATACGTCTGAGGATGACTGTAAATCGTCACTCATTAGAGCCAGTAACTGTAAAATCTGAAAGAATTGACGGATTTGTAAAATTCTGGTGTTCTTTGACCTACTCGTCTGTCGGGTGTTACTCTCTCCCTAAACAATTAACTAAATCTAAGCCTACAATCAGGATATTTCATTAAAGTCATTTCATTCCAAATCTCATGACATTATTTGTGAAAAATAAGCCACGAGCGCCGCATTCTATTATAAAACTACCTGAAAATTGTGTGCTCCTCAACTGTGATGCCATTAGTGATTCAGCTGCTTCCAGCAGTCATGTGACAAAAATTCAGTGAGTTTTTGACTGAACTGCAGGATGCATTTACACAGAGCAGATAGACAAATAAAAAATGTATACGCCATGTAGAAATGCCACTATTCTTGACACTTTGTGTGCACTTTGAAAAATGTTGAGCAAACTGATTCCAGGTTTGTTTAGTTTTTGTAAAACAAATAATCAAATAAATGAAACCTTTGCTTTTACAGGTTATGATTAATTGATTATAGTATTTACTATGCAAATATCTTAAAGTAAAAGCTGTTTTAAAAACCTATGAATGAGTAGATGTGTCCAACCTTTGGAATGGTGCTGAACTCAGTCAGCTGAAGAGCAGCTATGGATATGTACAAAGAAAACATTTACATTTTGCCCTTAAAAGACTGAAATACTGCTAAGGTTCCATTATTGCAGCTACAAAAAGAAATATTCAGCTTGATGCCAAATGATAAGCCACAGAACCAGTAATACCAGCGTATTAATTAGCATTCTTCAGCTACAATTATTATCTTCATCATATCTGTACTTTTTCCTTGCTTTGGCTGTTACAGTCCTGTATAAAGGACAATTCATGCTTCCCAAGTCAGCATGTCTGCAAGGGTCCACATAACAAACATTTTGACATCTGCCCACATCACAGAGGGTCCGTATCAACCCCTCTACAGATGTCTGCATGTCACCCAAAATGTGTGACCACGTGCACTGTCCACACTGTGTTGTATCAACTGCACGTGTCAGAAAAAACAAACGGTGTTTAAAACAAGTTTCTGCTATGAAGAGAGACTCTACAAGGAGATTCTCAGTTCTCAACACCTTTATTATTCTTCATTTAAAGAGCTGTGATTGAAGTAGCTGCTGTTGAACTTAGGATGTGTTTGGATTTGTACATGCTTTCCACTGGCAGGGGGAAATCCTAATTTTGCAAAAATCCTGAGCCATGTTCTGCCCCTGTGCTTGGCTCACACCCAGGAACAATCCCATTGACATGGTGCTTCAGCCTAACCTGTAGCCAGCTCCTGTAAAGAGCAGCCAGCCTTTCAGAAACACCCACAGAAGCTCTGTGCCAGTTTCTGTGTTCGATATGAGGGCTAATACGACCGTCTGTTTAGTAGACCAAACATGTACCTATCGTATAAATACAGCCACGTGTCTTGCTGTCCTCTTTCATAGTCTGCATTGATCAGTTTATGGGGATGTGTAAAAGCATAAATCAGCCTTAATGCGGTGCTTGAGGTGAAATACTAACCCAGGTCTCCAGGTCTCCTACCTGGCTGTCCTTGCTGCTGTGGAGCCACAGGTCCTCCCATACCCGCTTGCTGGCCTGAACCACCTCCAATGGTGACCTGCTGTAAGGTAGGACCTCCGCTCATCATTTGCCCCTGTCCTTGGTGTCCTGGGGCTACAGGACCTGGGGGCCGACATTTAGAAAGTCCCTTTCCAAATGCAACAGCTGAGACTAGTGCATTAGTGTCAGTCGGGTTGAAAGATGGTTTGTTCTGTCGCATTGCTGCAAATCACATAAAAGGTTAACATTTATTCACTGTTAAAATAGTTGAAGGAAAAACAATCTGTGCAGGAAAAGTGCAACAAACCTGCATTTTCTGCCTCTCTGTCCTCACGAGGGTTGTTTAGCTTCTCCAGCAGGTTAGAGCACAGCTTGTTCAGCGTCTGGATCTGTTTCTGTTGATGAAAATATAACAAGGGGGCTTGAACAAAATACTGATTGAATGTTTTGTCATAATTCGAAAATTGTCCGTAGGTGTGAATGTGAGTGTGCTTGGTTGTCTGTCTCTAAGTGTAGCCCTGTGATAGACTGGTGACCTGTCCAGGGTGTCCCCCGCCTTCGCCCTAAGTCAGCTGAGATAGACTCCAGCCCCCCACGACCTTAATGAGGATTAAGCGGTGTATGGACGATGGATGCATATTTTGTCATATGAGTAAACCAGCACTGATCCAATCCACATGGTAAGTAGCTGACCTGTGCCACCTCGGGGCCAATACGTGCTGCCTCTGTACTCAGCTGCTTCTCCTGCTCCTCAACTTCTGGATCAGGTTTGGTCCGCAAGTAGTCCGGTACGATCTCGTGGCTGAACACTGGGACTCGCTGCTCTGTAAGTTTCTGAGGGGCGGTAGATGGAGAGGTCAGAGAAATGATTTTTTTAAAAAAGCAGCTGACACATCATTCAGCAGCTCTGACACTCACCGCCAAGTCCTCGTCTCGGTCTGGAGACAGAAGCAGCGGTATTATAACCTGGTTGCGAAAGGATGGTGTCTTCTCATTCCTGAGCAGTTTATTGATGGTATTCAGCTGGCCAGACAGGAGCGCAAAGTTGTCCAAAACAGAGGGCCTGAGGAATAGCAATTTAAAACACACATTAGCAGCATGTGAGTGGGAACAAAAAAGAATTTGTTAAAGCTTGAATACAGGACTATTTCTAAAACAATTAAATCTGCACCATAAAGCTCTGTATGTGTGCCAGATCTGAATCCATCCAAAGCAAAACACTATTCTGGATGTCTTCACAACATATGACATGTTTTCTATTTCCTGTGCAGATGAACTCCTTATACCACCGTCCAAAATAACTGGAAAAACAGAGTGCAAGTTCGGTTTCATATGATTCTCTGTTTATTTAATTCGGACAAAGCAAACCCTTAAAAACAGCAGATTTACTCACCATGTCAGACGCTCGTACTCGTTCTCCAGCTTATAAATGAAACTGTGCAGAGCGTTTTTAACATGAGCCACCCGAGAGATCAGCGACTCCACCGACGCCTCTAACTGCTTCTCTTCTCGTTGCTGAAAGACAAGAAAACTCGTCTAAAACGTGCTACAAACGACAAGAACCCACCAAACTAACACACTGGGATCTATGAGTACGTTAACCTTTATTCACCGTATCCTAGCTAAACGGCTACATAACTTAGCATGCTAACTTTAGCGAGTTCAACAACTAATTAAGCCAAAAACAAATAAAAGCAGCACAACGTATCCACACATATACCACTAACTAATGTAGTGAACTAAGTATCACGCTGTAGTTTACAGTATACTTTAAAATATTTACCTGCATAGCTGAACTACAGGCTGACTAGATGAAATCTAAACAACGCGGAACTACTTCCGGTTCACCGTTGTCACAATAAAAGCATGTGATTTCGCATTTATTTTTCCAGGAAACTGATACAGGATAAAAGTCAATGCAGTCCTGTGCAAAATTATTAAATGTCATATGGTTTAAAATTAAATCAGCTCCTAATAATTCTAGTAGTTCTATGTTGAACAGTATTTCCTCTTATGAGCAATCAAAAACACATACTTTAGAAAGAATATAATGAAAATACAGGGCCAAAAGTAGAAACTCAAAGCAACAAAACTGAACAAACCTGTAGTCACTGACACACAAGTAAGAAAATCTATGATCATTGAAAATAAACTGAGTAGAAAGTTATGCTAATTGCATGAACATGATTATAAAATGACTGGTGAACCTTTCCAATTTCAGACCTGTGAGCTCTGTCTGCATGTCTGAATCATCTTTTTTATTTTTATTTTCTCTTGTGACCATGTTAGCTGCTGCAAAGATGATGCCAACTAAATTTCATTGTATTTCTTGTACAATGACAATAAAGCTTCTTCTTTTTTTTTCATGGCTCCACATGGAAAATAGTTCCCAGAGGATTTTAAACATCGGATTGTGAGACTTGCACAGTCTAGCTCTGAAAAACAGACGGGTAAGTGCTGCAGACTTGGCTCAGAGGTTATCAATACAAATCTGCAGTTTCTGTTAGCTTCAGAATGATGACGATTTCAAGCAAACTGCCAAAACCACACAAGTCTTAAAGAAGAAAAAAGTCAAAACTATGTCCTGGCCAAGTATGATGCCTGATTTGAATCCAGTGGAATCCCCTTTTGTGGTGGTTTGAAGAAAAGAGGTAGAGCAACACGACCCCTAGAGCTGAATTTTGAAGCATTAGGTTTTACTGAGGCTTTTTTAATATAGTAAATCTACACCACTATACAAAGGCAAATACCTTACTGTTAAGCCTAGAAGTAAAGCAGTTACTGTAAAGTGATCACAGTTTTAATGATATGACATTTAAGTGGTATTGCACCGAGGTATGCTCACTGTTATATACTGTAATTGTGGGGATTCTGTAGAGGGTGTTTGACCCCTTGATGTTTTTCAGTGCCACATTCCAAATAGGCAGCAGCATGGTTTCTCTTCTTTCTCACATTTTCCACATTTATTGTTCTGTGTTAAGGCTTATGACACAGTTTCAGTAGTGTAAAAATAATGCCTAAGTCAATTTATTCAATGGAGAACTTGTGGTTTGAATTTTTGATATTTTCCCATAAACCACTGAAGCACAGAGTAGAGTATGAGGAACATTTTGAAACTCTTGAGCCTTATTCTCTTCTTCTCCTATTTCAGCCAGAAGACAGATCCCATGTTGCTCAAGCTCAGCTGCAAACACGTCCAGATGACGGTTCTATTGTGCAAGGTCCTCAAATTACGTAAATGAGTATCAGGATCAGAAACAGCTTTAATGGCCAAGTATGTACACAACATACAAGGAATTTGGTTTGGTGTCACCCTCAGAATGAACAAGGAATAATAGAAATAGGAAAATAAAAAATACAGTAAAATAACTATAGAAAGAAAAAAAAAGAAAAATAATTAAATAAAATAAATAACAATAAATAAAATAACAGACCACTGTCATTTTGCCAAAGACATATCCTATAATAATACCCTTTCCTCTATGCAGATTGAGGCATTTTTCCATATAGACAAATATCTTTGTGCATATTATGACACCCCCAAAATCTTGTGAAATTGGGTTTCTTTCTTTGTGCGTTTCATAACAGCAGATGGAGCCATAATCACCCCTGTGTCCAATTTTACCCACCCAGGGTCCCACTTATAATTTGCTCAATCTCTTGTTACCTCTTTTATTTCAAATTTTGATATATAACTCCATGTTTGGGAGAGCCATATGTGTAGAGCAAATATTTATCTTTAGAATGAACAACCTTTAAAACAGTAATAGTGATTGCAGACACTTAGGAACAGTGCATTGTGAAGTACTAAAAACTGTCCATAACAACACAGTGTATAATAATAATATAATAATAGTGTTTCAATAGTAGATCTGCAAAAGCAACAAGCATCACTTACAGCATATGAGACAAAGTGCACCAGTGGAAGGTGGACATGTTGCGTTTCACTGAAATATCACAGACTAGCATTAGTACTGGTAAAGTTATGTAGCTTGCCAGCTGCTGCATGTCGGAAAATTACATTATATATTCTAAGTAGGGCTGCAAGGTGGCGCAGTTGGTAGCACTGTTGCCTTGCAGCAAGAAGGTTGCCGGTGCGCGTCCCGGTGGGGGCACCAGAATCTTTATGCGTGGAGTTTGCATGTTCTCCCCATGCAGCGTGGGTTCTCTCTGGGTTCTCCGGCTTCCTCCCACACAGTCCAAAAACATGCTGAGGTTAATTGGTGATTCTAAATTGTCCGTAGGTGTGAATGTGAGTGTGCTTCGTTGTCTGTCTCTGAAGTCAGCTGGGATAGACTCCAGCCCCCCCCCCGCGCGACCCTAGTGAGGATTAAGCAGTGCATAGATAATGGATGGATTGATGGATATTCTAAGTACTAAACTATGTGTCAGTTACACCAATGAAATGCAAACAATTATTTTAGTATGCCATATTCATTACTTTTACAATTCTATAATTTCATTTGGGGATGCTTTTATTCAAAGCGATGCAAATCTGAGAGTAACTACAACACAAGCAAGGATCTAGTCAGGAGAAACAAAAAAAACATGACACTTTGCCTGTAAAACATTTTATTTTGAAAAAAGGGAAAGGCTCATTAGTGTTTCAGCAAAGTGTACAGTATAGACTCTAATAAGTGTTAAAGGGATGTTTTCTCCTAATTCTGATCCTCCAATCTCTGTACACAGAATTTCTAATTAAGGCTCTTGGTTGTCCTTCAGTAAACTCTTACATTTACTACCCTACAGAGTGACTCATTAGGTAAAGACACTAAAGCGTACAGCAGGGAAGAATCGATTCTGGCTCATTTCATCAGTTTTCACTACGTATGCTTGAAGGCAGTGTGAAGAGGAGAGTGCTACATGCTCTACATTTAATATCTGATGCATAGCACATGAGCGGAGGGAGAAGTTAAGCGCTTCATTCACAGTTCTGGTCCACCAGTGTAAACCTAATGATGAGCTTAGAAGAGGCTCTCTACGTTGCCCATTTCCACCACCACGGTCTTCAGCTGGGAGTAGTACTCGATTGTCACCTGGCCATTCTCTCTGCCAAAGCCTGTGGAGATAATGAGAGAATAGCGCATTTTATTGTCACTCATGCAATTCAGGTCACTTGCTGCGTGCTCATTAAATTATAACACAGCGACTTACATCCTCGTTCAGATCATTTAAACCTCACAACACCCTACCTGAATTTTTGTATCCTCCAAAAGGCATTTCCACAGGGCTGGTGTTGTAGTTATTGATGAAGCAGGTCCCTGCCTCCAGATTCTCAGCCACACGATGTGCTCGAGAAATGTCCCTGCAGGCAGAGGAAAAAAATATATATATATTTTTTTAAATCTGTGCAAACACAATTAATCATGTGACCCCAAAACATGTGGGTGATGGTGGGTTTGAAAGATGTTATCTTACTCATCTGTGGCTTAACATTTTGTCAAGTCGTGTCCAGTCCATGTCGGTACAGGACTTTATATTGCAGTGAAAAATGTGCTCACAGTGAGAAAAATAGTGACATGAGCAAAAAAAAAAAAAAAACTCCAAAAACTCCTGGGAGTTTAGACGTTTACAGCAGCTATTGTGCAATGCATTAAACTTGGAAACTTTTCTTGGCTGCACTGTAGAAACCTTGAACCACAGCTAACACAAAGCAATAAATGTATTATCTTCAAGAGCAAACTAGCAGCATTGCTGTATGCAGCTCGTGTGTTCCTCTGCCAACCTGGTGAAGACTCCTGAAGCCAGTCCATAGGTTGTGTTGTTTGCTCTCTTGATCACTTCTTCCTCCGTGTCAAAGGGCATGACAGACATGACGGGGCCAAAAATCTCCTCCTTCACGCAGGTCATGTCGTCTCTGCAGTTATCTGTGCCGACAGAGATGAGTGAGTGCAACATATGATACATACTGGCTGGGGCATCAAACATGCAGATAGTGTAAAATCCCAAAGCTAATGAGTGTTTCAGACATACCAAGGACACAGGGTGACATAAAGTACCCTGCTTTCAGTTTGGGGTCACTGGGGACAAAAGGGTCTCCTCCACAAAGCACTCTGCCTCCCTGGAAGACAAACATAGAACTTTAATAATCAAAATAAATAATAATGAAGACTTAAATCAACTTAAGTGAATGATTGGCGGTACTATTAAAATTGATTGAATCACTCAACAATTGCTCAATCTCCCAAATCTAATAATCTGAAGAATATTACTGCACCTCAGCTTTGGCCTGGCTGACGTATTTCAGCACTTTGTCCAACTGTGGCTTGCTGATCAGCGCTCCCATCCGGGTGCCGTCCAGCAGTGGGTCTCCCACAGGGATGGCCTTGGTCCTCTTGACCACTTCCTCCAGGAACTGCGGCATGATCTCTTTCTGCACAAACACTCTGGTCCCATTGCAACACACCTACATTTTTCAGACAGACATGCTACACTGTGAAAGCTGACGGAGTTTGTCTCGGATCAGGTCGAGTCTGGCAACACGATCCATAAATGACGGAACCCTGCAGTCTCACCTGGCCCTGCGTCAGGAAGTTAGCCATGAGTGCTCCCTTCACTGCGTTCTCCAGCTCACAGTCTTTGAAGATGATCAGGGGAGATTTCCCTCCGAGCTCCAGAGTCACCTGCTTCACCCCCTTTGCAGACATTTCCATGATCTGAGAGTGAAGACAGCAGGGATTGGTGGTGTGGGTTTTTATGTACGAGGGCTGTGGTCTCCACACTGACTGCCTAATTGTTTGTTCGATGTGCTCCCATCCCACCAAATTCTCATTAGTTAGACAATAGCTGGTGTTACTTTTGGAAGGAGAAAAGCGATGCATCAATAGCCTTCCAGGATTATTCTAGTATTTTTGGCAGCAGGAGGAACAGACTTTGAACTGACTAACAAATCCAACATTTAGAGTTAATATCAGATAAGATCACGTTTTTGTGGAGCGCTGTCCAAACTAACTGCCACCATGTCAAAGGCAATGTCAGTGAGGTTGCATTTTGTTTAAACAGAAGCAAACTTAAAGAAAACAGAAGTTTGTATATCGCAGCTCAACAAGCAACCTGGCAGATCATTTAAAAACAGGAGGCTGAGTTGCCTGGATTACATTCCTCAATGGTTCATGTCCTGAGATCACCCATTTATGTAGCTGCAGTTTTAGAAACTATATGATTCTGGTCAGATGCACACTAATCAGCTCCAGATCTGTTATCATTTCAGTATAAAAGTTCAAATAATTAACTTGCTGCAAGTGCTAGCTTCTTATGTTGATTTAGAATTAATTTAATCTAAAAGAAACATTATAATTTTCCTTTGCACATTTCAAGATGTGGACATTACATGCACTGTGATCTTGCACGTACTCAGGCAAAACGTTTTCCTATTCCTGTACACTGTAAATACTTCTATGACTTCTAGTTGGCTTTACAATTTCTTGGATTTACTACACTTTGAAACACTAGTTGCTGTATTGTTTTGTTTTTTTAATCTTTTATCTTGTATTATCTTTCTTTAAAATATACTGTGGAGATGGGTGTAATTGGTGGCAAACGGCAGTGAAGAGAGGTGTGGGGTAGAGCTCAGGAGATTAGTGTCAGGTGAGTTGATGGGTCCAGGTGCTGCTGCTCTGCCTAATTGTGGATATGCTTGTGCACATAGTAGGGTGCTGGCCCGGGAGAAGGGGAGAGAAGGCCAAGGAGGAGGATCTCTGCCTGCGTTGGGGAGATAGAAGACGCCGACTGGAGAGCGCGTGCTGCAGACACGCAGCCGCTTTGTGTTGTTTCTCTGTTTTGTGCTGGGTTTGGCGCCGTACAGCAAATAAAGACTGTGGACCAGCGACAATTCGTGTGTCTGTGCTGGGGGGAACCCACGGAGGTAGCGAGACGGCTACATGTACTAATTGTATTTATGGTTATGTCAAATTTCTCCTATGTAACTACCTACCAGGCAATAAAACAGACTCTGATAAAGCTAGCAGATGAAGGTCCATTTGGCTCATTTAAAGATAACATTAATAAATACCCAGTAGTCAACTAAGATTTTTTGGGGGCCAACTACAGTCCTGCTCTCTACCTTTTTGCCAGTTGGAACGCTGCCAGTGAAGGAGACTTTGGCGACCGTCGGGTGACCGCAGAGCAAGGTGCCGGTCTCTGCTCCGCCTTGGACCACACAGAAGAGCCCATCAGGTACCCCTGCCTCTTTGTAGATCTCCGCCAGGATGACAGCAGTCACAGGAGTCATGGGAGAGGGCTTGAACACCATGGCGTTACCTGGCGGCACAACCACAGTCTGGGTTTTTCATGCTGAATGTGAACTTGGGGGGGCGACTACGTACTACAACAAGCATGATGGGTTCAGCAAAGGCAGTGGGCCTGTGTTGTCTTATTTCACAGGAATCTGCATTTTCTTGGTATTTCATCAACAAAAACGTCTTCATGTGTATGTAAATGAAGCCCCAATTAACAAAACCCTTCCCAATAGGGACAGACTGATTATCGGCGATTATTGTGGCAGATACTTGTCATTTTTCTGATTATCTGTATTTTTATTGACCTATTATCGATACATTAAATGCGCTGCTTTAGGTCTTCCAGGGGACAGCGTCCTAATCTAATCACTCCAATATCTATTTTACATATTCAGTTATAGTCTCCCTTATTGATGAGGGAGGCTAGTTATGAATGACAGGTTCTCTGCTATCACATGCTGTTAAAGCATTTAATGTGTATTGGTTTCTACACAAACAAACCAACAGAAAAAGCTGATAGGATAATTGATAGACAAATAGCTGTTACCGGCAGCCCTTTATATTTCAGTTTCTTTTATTAACACACATTCAGCAGAACATGTTTGTGTGTGTGTGTGTGCATAACCTAATTAGCTCATAAGAAAGCCAAACTGAGAAAAAGAAGAAAGTAGATTGCTCATTCTAACCTTTATTCTCTATTATGCACACACTCCAAACTGCAGCTGAATTCACAATATAGCTGCTCTTATTTAAGTGAAGTAAAGTGCAGGTTCACAACATTTTGACATTTGCTATATTTAATGTGGGTGACACAATACATACAGCTACAAACTCACCACATGCCAGAGCAGGAGCAGACTTCGTTACTGCAATCTGGAAGGGGTAGTTAAACGCACCGATTCCCGCACACACACCGAGGGGCTCCCTCCTGGTGTAAGAAAACGCTCCACCAGGAAGCTGGATGTGCTGGCCTGCAGTGAATCACAACACGCCCCCCCAACGTTAAAAACAACACCAGGCTAAGGTTCTCCACTTATGGGAAACTCAGTGCACCCACCTGAAAGAGTTCCAGCAAGGCCAGCGTAATATTCCATGCTCTGCCAGGCAACATCAATATCCACCAGCGCTTCAGTGATGGACTTGCCATTGTTGATCACCTCTATCTTTGCAATCTTCTCCCTTCTTTCCTATTTTAAGATACGATAATTCTTTATTGACATGATAATTTAATTGGAACAAAACAGCTTTAAGCTTATGCAATCATAAAATCTTCCTTTATGTGCCATCAAAGAAGCGACGCAGACTCATCAAAGGTTGATATTGTGCAAATGTGGGCCAGCAGTAAAAGCAGGCGGGGGCAAGCATGTGGTTTCTAATGAATAACTAGTGTCTTACTGCATGCCTGCAAGTCAGCTCCAATTATTGTTGCACAACGCTGAAACCAAACTGCATAACTTCCCCGTCTGCTGAGGGTTATGACACAACAGCTTGACCGTCTCACCCTGATAATGCGGGCGGCCTCGAGCATCACCCGGGCCCTCTCCATGCCCGCCATCTTGCGCCATGTTAGGTAGGCGGTGTGGGCACTCTGCATGGCTTCGTCCACCTCCTCGGCCCCACAGGGGACCAGCTGACACAAGACTCGGCCTGCAGACGAAAGAGGGCGAACAGGTTACAAATGACAGAAGTTTGGTGGAACTGATAGCTGAGTAGCCGGCGCACAGACCACATGGGTGCAAATGCCCTGACATTTGAGCAGCAAGTTCCTGGTTTGATTCCTGACTGGGCACTATTTGCTGCATTCTCCTATTCTCTTTCCCCAGGCATAAAGGCATAAAAAATTGCCCCAAATGAATATTAAGGCAAAACACTACAGGTGAACAAAGTAAACAAATGCATGTTAGTGAAGTTTGTGTTATTCAAAATTCTGATAAGAAGATTTATATTTTTAAAGCTAACGTGAATTGGTTTCAGATATTGGTAATCAGTCTCCTTGATTATCAATAATCAGTATTAGTCCTGGGCTGCATGGTAGCTTGGTGGTTAGCAGCTCGCAGCGAGAGGATCCCCAGTTCGCGTCCCGGTTAGGACACCTGGGATCTTTCTGCGTGGAGTTTGCATGTTCTCCCTGTGCAGCGTGGGTTCTCTCAGAGTTCTCCGGCTTCCTCCCACAAGGTCCAAAAATATGTTGAGTTAACTGGTGACTCTAAATTGTCCGTAGGTGTGAGTGTGCTTGGTTATCTGTCTCTTAAGTGTAGCCCTGTGACAGACTGAGTCAGCTGGGATGGACTCCAGCCCCCTCGCGACCCTAGTGAGGATTAAGCCGTGTATAGATGATGGATGGATGGATGGATGGTATTACATGGGGGACATGTTGGATATCTCTTTTAATCGTACCATAAATAATAAATAAATGAATAAAAATACTGTCAACCGCCATGTTTGTAGGAAAAAAAAAAAAGGTTGCATGAATCAGGCTGTGAATGACATATGAAAACACTTAATTAAAAACCCTGAGAATATAGGCAGGAGCACAACTGGGAAGTTTGGTATATTGAACTGGGAAGCCACATTTAGCACAGTGAACTATCTTTTTAGAGTTGCTGTGCAGAACAGTGTGAAAACGTTGTAGAGGCTGTAAAACTGCAACGATCAATTGCATATTGAGTCAACTATTAACCAGATAGGGGAAGGAGGAGTGTTCTTGGTTTTCCTTCATGTTCTTACATCCACGCAGCATTAAATCCCAGTAACTCCACCCCAACTAAGGGGAAAAAAAAGAAAAACACCAAGTTTCAGTTACATAATAAGCTGTCCTTGTTAACCCCAACGCACTCCCAATAACCTACCGACCTTTAAACAGCACTTACACATTGACTTAAGATAAATTATTCAAACTCATTTTCCTCAGGAGAAGCATCAAACCCGGAAGTGGACATTTAATGAGTTATATATTTAATAAGCTGTATTCACCAGTTGCAGGCTCAAACACGGGCTCTGCGTTCTTCTCCTGCCGGGGCTTCACTCGTTTCCCTCCCCAGTAGTTCAGAGGCTCTGTGACCACCAGAGATCCCGTGGAGGCTCCGGACATCGCGTCGAGGATTGACTGGGCCATTTTCAGACAGAGAGGTTCCTGCAAGAGCACAACAAATCCTTCAGGAAAAGGAAAAACCAAACCAAGCATGAATAAAAAATAATGTTTAAGGACCACCGCGTGTAGCTAACTGTCCGCGCTGCTAACGTGCAGCTAGCAGCATGCTAGCTAAACTAGCGACGGGAGATTTTAAATACTGGGACACGCAGTAGACAGATAACTGTACTTTACCGTTGATGCTCCTGCAGACGGACTGGGAGGTGGAAACCGACGCCAAGTCACATTTAAGGCTCGTTTCACGCCCCTACAAGCGGCCAGGACACACCTCCTCCTTCATGCTAACGCTCGGTAGCCTCTGGGCTGCGTCTCTGCAGCTAGCGGACACAACCGAAGGAGATGAAAAGGAGGAAGCAACAGGTGCTTTACAAGCAACACAGGCGGACTCAGGACGAAGGAAGGTGCAAAAGTCAAATGAATACTGTCTGAATTCTGTTTACTTCTTTCGGGTTTGTGCGGGCCGCCACAAAGTGACGCTGTCGTGGTTTATTGGGACGCTTTTTCATCAGGAAGTAGTCGGACCCCTTGTCATCAGTTCTGTCCCGAGTCCACACTCAGTAGTCCAAAGTGAAAACCTGTTTACAGAAATGTTTGCACATTTGTCAAAAATCGATACGTGAAACCTCAACCAATGCTGTTTTATAAGTAGTTTAAATATAACGGTGTTATTTATAATACAATTTTAATTTAAATATTAGAGTTAGGACCCCACATTATTACATAATAAACAGATTTACGAGACTGATTTAAATATTGAGGTTAAAACAATACGTTTTATAAAACAAATTTACAATTATATAGTTAGGACCCTACAGTGTTGTATAAAATGTCAATCTATCCAGTTTAAATATTAAGGATGACCCCTACAGTATTGTATTTTATATAAATGTACCATAACCTAAATATTAAGACTCTAAAATATTGTATTTGTCAGACAAATTCACCAAATCAAATTAAAATATTTAAGACCCTGAAATATTTATTATACAAATTTACTAATGTAAATATTACAGACCTGTATCATATATTATACAAATTTACCTGACCAATTTAAACATTAAGGGTATGGCCTTACAATATTATATATGATATACACATTTGCCTCATTTGCATATTAGGCTTTAGATCATACAGTAAGTGTTAAGAGTAAATTAAACATTAGTTGTTGTATATTGTGCAGATATACCTGATTTAAATATTAAGGATAAGACTCAACAATGTTATATATTATTTAAATGTATCCAACTTAAATATAGATTTAAAAATTCTTATGTTATATATATATTCCAAATAAAGCTGACAGAATTAAATATTAAGGTTAGAACCATATGATACTTATTTGTTAGTTTACCAAACTAATTCAAGCATGATTAGATCACAGTATTATTTATTATATATATGTGCCTGACTAATTTCAGTAATACAGTAAAATAAAGTAAAAAGGACACACTTTTAAAATGTAATCATAAAATTTTTTTTATTAATATGTAAGATACAGGCATTGACGTACAATAATACTGAAAATGGATCAGAAGTTATTGTGCTGAGTACATGGCAGACATGTGTAACCTTTGGTAATTAACAGAATTAAGAACAACTTCTCTTTCTCTAACTTCTAAGCAAAACAACTCTTAAAGTTAAATAAACAACACAAATGAGAAATCAAACACAAAGTAGTGATACAGTAGCTGCAGCAGATTGGACGTTGGCTCCAGCACCAGCGGTTCTGTCTGTGCTCTGATGCAGATGTCGTGACGGCAGGCAGCTGATTAGGAGAACTTGGCCGCCTGAGGAGGAGGACCCAGGAAGCCTCCAGCCTGCTTCGTAGCTGCTCTGGAGGGCGCGAGGCCAAGCATCTTCTGAATGTTCTGGAAGGAAAAACACCAAAATATGTCCCTCAAAAACAAGGTAACTGAAGATTCTAGTCACACAGGTTTATATGAAGAATCTGGATTCCTGGCAGATACTTCTAATGTGCACAGATCCAGCAACACTTCCAGTTTATAAAACAACTTTAGTGTGCTTTGGGACTAGTCAGCAAATATCATAAAAGTACCAAAACCAACAATAAGTGTACTGAATTAAAAGTGTTAAAGCCTGAAAAATCCTTTGTTCTTCTGAGCCACAGAGCTCCATTGTTGTCAAAAAAAAGCCATTAGCAGCACATCACATGCATTGGCTGACGCACACTGTAGTTTTTTTTTTTTTATCATTATATAATCCCTCATACACAAACACAAATACTCATTATAACATCAAAAATGTACAAATCCGCAGCTGAAAATAGTCCCACAGTTCTGCCAAAAGCTTCAAGTAGCAGCTGTTTTAAATGATAAATTATTTGTTCACATCATCAGTGGGAATTTGTGTGACTGAGTTGAATGCTACAGCAAGGTGACACACGTTGGTTTCTTCCACGGGGTTTGTTGCCAATACAAAATATAGAACAACACCACCCTTATCCTTCTGAGTGTGGCAGATTTTTCTTGTTCAAAAGCGAGAACGACTGTTATCTACGTGGTGCATTAATGGGATTTTGATGAGTGTGTCACTGAATTTTCCAATCTATGTAGCAATTAATGACTAGTTTGAGTATAGTTGTTTTTTAATCAAGTTCCTAATGATCTTTAAAATGTCAACAAAGCTGAAATCTGTAGCCTGTTAATGAGGCTGTTAAAGCTCATTACACATCAGAGAAGAAAATAAAGCTGGATATAAGAAAATGAAAGCATTAAAACGTTATAAAGTTTGGCCAGAGGGGGGCGCCACAGGACACAGCATGCTGTTACCTTAAAAAACCTCTGTGTCCTCACAGCACAGATCTTTACCATCAAGCCTCAGTGACTTAATTAATGTCACAGCTGTAGTATTTGATTATGTGAGGTCATGGGGGCCTCATATAATTAATGGTGTAAAAAGGAGGATTGAGGGATAGTAATGTGAAAGTACACGTAGCTAAAAAACACCAACATCAACTCTGAGTGTCCCATATCTCCAAGTTTAGATGTTTACCTGTCTGATGGACATGGTGCAGAGGATGTAGAGGAAGATGAATGAGCAGTCGGTGTAATCCTCTCCCAGCAGGTTGCGATGTGACAGTCCCTGGATGTAGGACAGCGGCACGAACGGCAATTTGGCCACTACTCTTCCATCGAAACTATAAACATACACAAAAAAATGATAGTTAAAAAAAATTATACACATTAAAAGTAATGGACCAGAGAAATAACAGAAGACTCTGGGCGACACAAACTGAAGGCCAATTCATGGTTTCTACATTAAGTACACATCAGTTTGCACGGTTTGTCTGAGTTCATTCCTGATTTTAGATTGCACTTCCTGTGATGTCACGATTGCGTACATCGTGTTGTCGATGCTAAAACGATATACTGTGCAGCCCTGAACGAGAGCTACCAATCGAAGCACCTCCAAAATCTGGAGACACTCGTGTACTTCGCTACATGACGATGAGAAAAGCATGAATTGGCCTTTACACTCACCTCTTATTTTCTTATTTATTTTTGTCAGATTTTTAAAATCAACGAGAAAAATATATTTAAAAAAACTTTTACTCTGGTGCAACTTACATGGAGTTGAACATCCCCATCAAAGCTGTGAAGCAGAATCCGATGGCAAACATGGACTTCATGCGCACCTGCAAACAAACAATATTAAGAAATGACAGTTTGAATCTAGATGACATGTGACAACAGTCTACTAAACTCCAGGATGACAACAATCACAGACATTAAACTTAACCAATACTTGTTCACTGTAAACAAACTCACCATGGAGAGGTCTCTGTTGTTGTTCTTCAGTTTCTCTTCCTGTCTTTCTGTAATCCATTCAGACACAGACATCACTTACTACACAACACTGTCATCGTGAGGAAACGCTCATAAATGCAGCATGAGGTCTTCCTGTTATGAGACCATTTTGTTTACTGATTTCTTACCAATCTTCTTCTTCTGTTGACGTCCAGCAGATTCAGTGATGGTTTCCTTTTTCTTCTCAACTAACAGCAGATAAACAACAGTGAATGCTTTACACCACTCAGAGAGAAACAGTCAATAGGAGGATATGAGGCTCACGCAGGAGTCACTTACGTTTTTTGCTTTGTTTTTCTACTTCGGCCTTTAGCCTCTTGTACTTTTCAGTCCGATACACCAGAACCCAGGTAATTCCTGAGAAGAAAATCAGAACACGTAAAAAAAGAAGAAGAAGAAGAAGAAGAAACAAAAAAAGACTTTTCCTGCATGGACAAACGAGAGGGTTTGAGCCAATGCTAGAGGAAAATCACCAGCATCAAAATGATAAAATAATAATTTAAAAAAAGAAATTAATTTTAAGCAGTTTTGCTGTCTCATTTACACAACTTTATTTCATTTTTTAATTTAAATATCTATTAACCTCAATTATGAAGAATTAAATGCATTATAACGAAAGGAAGAATATAAATCACTAAAATCGTCCCTGAAGACTTTTATTTTGAAGATGGAACCGGAACATAGGACCGTGCACATTAGCTTACTCAGCTAAGCTAAATCCGTTCACTAACGTGCAAATTGTAACTCAACAAAAGATCCAAAATGGGAAAATTGCAAATATAAATAACGTCGACAACGTATCCAAACTGTGTAATTGAGAATATTAGCATTTTTAAATATACTCTCGGTTTAGTGGACGATAGTAAAGCGGCTGCCTGCTTCCGACCAGCGTGTCGAGCTGTCAGAAGGATTCGACTCACCTTCGGCTAACAGCGCCGTGCAGACAGAGATGAACACGATCAGGATAGTGTCCGCAAACATGGTACTCATGATGGTATCGTCCCGGTTATCCGACCTTAGACAGGAACAACGTTCAATTGAGATTACCGATGAAGCCCTGAGCACATCTCAGTGAGCAAAGCTTCTGTCTCGCAGAGCTCAGTCAGCAGTACGGCGGAAGTCACACAGCTCAGGAGCACTTCCGGGTCACAGCACCGAGCACGAAAACGTCACGTTAATGACACAAAACTGTTGTACAACCAACAAGAAATAAAATACAAAAACAGTAAAAGTGTTTTTTTTTTTTTTTTTTTACAACCAACAAGAAATAAAATACAAAAACAGTAAAAGTGTTTTTTTTTTTTTTCTTTACTCGGTTTTTGGATTCTATTTGTACAAATTAGTGCATTGATAAAGTCATACTTAATCAAAAATAAAAGCCTAAATTTGAATTTAAATTCATATTTACAGGCCCCAGACTTCTTAGGGTCCCAAGAAACCAGGTCGACTTAATATTATTTGGGTCTGCATATTTCAATTATTCCAAACATTCACTTCTAAAGTACTCCATCTTTTATCTTGTAGCCCTGAGCAGTGTAGCTACTATGACAATTAGTGAGGTATGTTGAGCCAGAAGTCAGAGTTTTCTATGTTACCAAGGTGCAAACCTCTCAGAAACGTCCCCCAAAGGTTGTTTTTTTGTACCTTATGCTGACTGGGGTTTTAGGTTTTGTCAAGCCAGCTAGCACAAAGAAAACCTGGATATATCAAACCTGCTTCATAGCACACCTCTCTGAGCTTGCAGAGTTTTAATCAATAAAATAAAATTATTTTATTAATCCTGAAGGAAATTGCTCCACACATCCAGCACTGTTGCCTCGCAGCTAGGAGGTCGCCGGTTCGCATCCCGGTGAGGACACCTGGGATCTTTCTGCATGGAGTTTGCATGTTCTCCCTGTGCAGTGTGGGTTCTCTGACTTCCTCCCACACAGTCCAAAAACATGTTGAGGTTAATTGGTGATTCTAAATTGTCCGTAGGTGTGAATGTGAGTGTGCTTGGTTGTCTGTCTCTAAGTGTAGCCCTGTGATAGACTGGTGACCTGTCCAGGGTGTCCCCTGCCTTCACCCTGAGTCAGCTGGGATAGACTCCAGCCCCCCATGACCCTAGTGAGGATTAAGTGGTGTATAGATAATGGATGGATGGATGGATTTTATTGGGCCTATTGCAGTTTTAAGTACTTCACAGATAACTGATAGATCAATAATTTTTACCCAATACTGTGAAAAAAGATGACTCTTCATACTTGATTTATTTTAGTACGTATATTTTTAACTTGTTTCCACGCTTGTCTTCTCTTTGCTCCACGTTATCACAGCCTGCAGTTCAGCTGAAAAATAACTGAATTTTGGAAACTTTAGTTTGCAACTGGCACATTTTTTTGTTTCAATTTTTTAATCATTTGTTCAAGGAATGTCAGACAGTTGACAATCCAACACTTATTTCTGTCTTTACAGTTTGTGGCTGATTATTGTGTAATTTTTTGCCGTTTTTATAACATTCACATGCCTTTCAAACCTAATGGTAAGTTTTTGGTGTTCAGAGTTGATTATCAAAATTGTTCCCACTTCAGTTTCTCTTAAAAAAAAAATTTTTCATTCCATTTGTCATTTTAATCAGTTCATCTTCACAGTAGGTGTCAGTGTCTCGGTGTCAAGGGAAGTGTCATATACGGTGGGGGGTCAGCAGGAACCCAACAACAGGCTCCTGAGGAGGTTAATCCACCTGTGTTAATGACCAGAGGCAATGGAAGCAGGTGAATGGAGAGTTGGTTTGTCTGAACTTAGTGCTGAGCGACCGATTCATGAACAAAACCATGTTAGACATTTTCAGGTAAACTCTGAAACCCACTTTCACATTTGTAAAACCTTTATTTTGCTTGTAAAAATGTAGTTCACAACAGACAAGATTCAGATCCAAAACCACTATGTAGAGTCTTTCTTTTTTTTTTGTTTTGGCATTTTCACAAATGACAAAGTGGAGACTGTGTTTGAAAGACTGTTTGGCCTTTCTGGCATAATCTAGCCCAGATTTGAGTCGTCTACAGATAATGGTTTTTGATCTGGACCTGGCACAATAAGGTCAACATGCAACTGCAACAACAACAACAAAAAAAGCAACGAAATCTAAATTTTTTGGCATTTTCACAAATAGATTAAAGTAATCACAAAGCATGGACTGTATTTTGAGGATTATTTAGCTTCTCTGGCATAATTTTGTCCCTTTTTGGCCCACCTATATCTAGTGGCTTTGATTTAAACCTGTTCTCATGTTATCTACATGCCAGAAAAGCAGTAAAATCTCCTTTTTTTTGCATTTTCACTATTAGAATACATGTTATACAGACTCTCTAGTCTCCCTTGTATAATCTAGTCCAGATTTGGCCAGTGTGTGTGTTTTTTATGTCATCTACATGCAAAAATAAACCAAAAAACGTAAAATCTCTGAGCTCCTACCATGTTATTATCCTTCCAGCTCCTATTCCCCCTTAACTTTTCCCCTTAACTGCAGACTCCTAACTTCGGTAAACATAAAACAGCAGCAGCACTCCTGAGATTTCATCATCATCATCATCATCATCATCATCATCGTGGGCCTCTAACGTCACCACCACCACCGTGCTCATCACCGGCAGCATCATGCGGGGGGAGGAGCGCGGACAGCCGGCGTGTCGGAGGGCCGCAGCGCGCTGCAGATGAAGCATGGCAGGCGACAGCGAGACAAAGCCGGAGGAGCAGGCCGAGAATGACAGCAGCCACCGGCAGCCTTTCCTCATCGGTGTGGCCGGAGGGACCGCCAGCGGCAAGGTGGAGGCTTGTTTATTATCATTCCTTGAGTTCCCCCCCTTTTTTTTAAATAAGAGATTTGTGTGAGTGATCGGATCGGCTGCAGCGGATCGATATGATACAGTGAGGAAATTCAGAAAATATGCGCATTTTTCTTGAATTTATTGATTAATCTTTTTTTTTTTTTTTTTACTGAATCAGCTGGACTGATTATGTTGGAGATAATGTCCGCCGCCCTGCTGCATGTCAACCAGCAAAAACATGTGCACTGTCAACATATGCCTCTTTTTCTTCTTCTTCTTCTTCTGAGACAGTGTGATGAGTAGAAATCAGGCTGGAGGACTTGTGTTTTCACGTGTGTTATCCAAATGAGACAGGATCAGAGTGAAAAGATGAGATGTCATAATCAGCCTCAGCTGTGAGAGATCAGGACAATTAGAAAGCAAAGAAGTGTAGACCATCATCTGTAGAGCAACAAAGCTCCCAGTACTGCAGCAGCAGCACAGTCTATTGTGTCAGTGTGTCATGCTGTCTGCAGGAGGTACATTTATGAATATGAAGTAGTGCAGTCAGTGCAAGAGGAGGTTTTATTATTGTTATTTTTTCCCCTAATGTTTAAGCCTCTGTGTATGCTGTTGTTCCCATTCTATCTTCTTCACACGTTGTTGTTCTTGGTGTCACTGTACTCGCTGTCTCGGACTCCCTCCTCGTTTTCATTTCACCTCATTTGACCGGCTGGCTCACCGGCAGTACACTGATGTCTTCAGTACTATGTTAGATCAAATGCATGCACTTCATTGTTCTGCTCGTTAATAGATCCCAATAGTTGCCAGTTCTCGACTTTAAAGATCAGAAAAAAGATGCTTTAGTCTTATATTTTGTAGCAGAGCAGTTTTGCAGACGAGAAAATTGTGACTGGTAAAATCAGAACCTTTATTATTCTTCCTCATGTGGCAGTTACAGCATCTTGCTCCTTTACAAGAGGTGACAGTAGGTTGATTTTACAGGTGATTAAATCAGCAAAAGTGAGTTTGTGGTTCAGCAGGCAGTTGTTTGTGGCTTCCACTTCCTGGTATTCTGCCTCCATTTTCCCAAAGGAGCAACTGTTCACTGAACCACCTGCTCTCCCAGACATGTTATCTGAACGGGGAGTAGTTCTGCAGTGTTTATGTGTCAGTCTGCGAGTGTGTGTGTGACTGCCAGGTGCACATACGATAGAAAGAATGTGCATCTACTTTTAAATAGACGCGAATGGCACGTCATCGTGGACGTGTCAACAGACCGGGAGATGAAACAGACATTGGGTTCAGGGAATTTTAAAGTCCTAATCTGCTGTGAAGTAGCTACAGCTGTCAGATACATGTAGTGGAAGTAAAAAAGTAGAATAACATGAAAATGCTCAAGTTAAGTAGAACTACCTTAGCACTGTAGCTGAATACAACACTTAAATAAATGCGTTTAGTTCCTTTACACCAGTGGGTATAAACAACCACTCAAGATGTGGTACTACTTGCAATGTAGTTAAAAACAGGAGGAAAAATCTGTTTAGAAAAAGCAACTGGGGCAACAAAAATGCTCTAAAATAAGTAATAATGTGCATGTATATTTGTGGATCGACAGACGGATGGATGGATAATATAGAATGATAAAACCTGAATATTTACCAAAGTTTGTGGATATTATATTGAATTTAACAGATTCATCTATTAAATAAAAGGAACTGTTTTTGAAATTAAAATATATTAATGTGTAATATATTTTTACAGTGTGTGTATTAACTTGTTGTGTGGACAGTCGTCCGTGTGCAGCAAGATCATGGAGCTGCTGGGCCAGAACGAGATCGACCACCACCAGCGACAAGTGGCCATCCTCAGCCAGGACAGCTTCTACAGGGTCCTCACCCCGGAGCAGAAGGCCAAAGCACTGAAGGGCCAGTTCAACTTCGACCACCCAGGTACCTCGTCACTGTGCTGCACCATCTGGCAGCAGAGGAACCCAGGACCGAAGCCTGCTGGCCTCAATCTGGAAGCGCCGTTTAATCTAGAAGCCATTTCAAAGTGACTTCTAACCGCTTTCTACTGTTTCCTTCTGTATAGATGCATTCGACAACGACCTCATAATCGCGACCCTGTGGGACATCAAGGAGGGGAAAACGGTCCACATTCCTGTTTACGACTTTGTTTCCCATTCCAGGTGAGCGAGTCTTATCTCGTCTCCGCAGATGCAACATTAAAGAGGGATATTTGCAGGTTTCAGCCTACGTACTGCAACGGAGTCTCTGATGCTTCATAATGCAGCAGTAACATTACCTTCAAAAGCAGAGATGATGTCCGCTGCCAAGGGTTAATTACTCTAACCTTTCACAGACATTGATTTTCACATCATAGCGCAATGAATGGAAGTCAGCAGCTGCCTGGATGATGGGAAAACATGTGAAATCTGCTTTAGTAAATGGTCACCAGTAATGTGGGAAAAGGGCTAAAACATGCAAAAAAAATATTGCCAGGGTCCTGTTTGAAAATGTAAGCTTTTTAAAGATGTTTGTTCAGCTTTAAAGTGAGATTGCGTAACTTTTGCGTAACTCCAGTGTTGTTGCCTTATTCAATCTGGTCTGGGAAAAGGCTTATAGTGTCAAACTTTAGGCGCATATTGCTAAAACCTGGCATTACACAACAAACATTTGGCAATGTTGTCGCCAAGAACGGTGACCGAAAACCGCAATGTGATCAAAAGCCGACAGCCACACGGGGTGTAGTTTCTGTCTCATGAAGATTCAGTCAGACCTTTTCTTACAAACCAGGAAACAGTGATCATATTACTGTCATGAAAAACGTGTAAGAATGTGCTTTTGTTTGTTTTTTAATATATGAGATTTGATTAACAATAATTGGTGGTGATCAGTAGGACACGCAACGTCCACTAAACATACAAAGCCTGGTGTTACTTGATGCCTACGTTAAAAGCATTTGTGGCAATAGTGCATATCTGTGTGTGAATTATATTCCAATCTGACAAGTTTATTTGGCCTTTGGAGCATCGCAATGTTACATGTCCCTTTGTGTTTCCAATATAAGGCTGTGTTGTGTAGTTCTTTTGAGAAAACAGGGTTAGAAATGTGTTTTTGCTCCCTCTTGCTTGATTTGTATTTATTTTTTGCAGAAGGTTAATACACACAAAAAATCAGGTAAACAAGCACCCTCTTCCTTAAGGTCCAGGAGTGGCATCCATCTGTAATCTAGTTAAGTTTCTGGATGTTGGCACAATTTGTTTTTAACCATAAAAATCCCTCTTTTTTTTTTGGGACAGTAAAACAACAGCCACTCAGTGTAACATGTTTGCTGAGCACTGAGTCAGTTAGCCAACTCTACTATTAACATTTATCGTCACCTGCAACCACAACGGCTGCTGTTCTGTAAATGTCACACAGTACGGCTTTAAGTGCTTTTGTGTTGTGTGTGTGGCAGGAAGGAGGAGACGGTGACGGTGTACCCTGCCGACGTGGTGCTGTTCGAGGGCATCTTGATGTTCTATTCTCAGGAGATTCGAGACCTTTTCCAAATGAAGCTGTTCGTGGACACCGACGCAGACACACGCCTGTCACGGAGAGGTGACTCATGCACACACCACTAGATTTAATATGCTAAACCTTTCAATGCAGGAGGTGAGCTTAATGGTTCATTAAGTCTTCAAACTCCAACTGCATGTTTTATTGCTTTATAAAGTCCATCTCTATGGAAACAACACAACTGTGGCTAGAAGTAGAGAATTTCTGTTGTGCAGTAGGACGGTGTTATAATGGCATAAATCATAAAACAGTGGGAAAATAAACTGGAATCAGCATGACTACAAATTTTTCAAGTGCCTATAGATGTTACCAGTACTGGGGGAAATGCCTGAATACTATCGGTGTTTTACTAATTACGTGTTGTAACTAGTTTCCAAACTTGTCTCCTATCTGCTCACACAGCCTGCAGTTCATCTGAAATTCAGCTGAATTCTTGTCACATAACTGTTGTTAGCGGCTGAGTCACTCATGTCTTCTCAGTTGTGCCGAGCACCTCGCAGTGTTCAGTTGTTTTCAGAATGCAATCTACAGTTTTGGTGAATTTTCAAATGAGACATGTAGAATAAATGTTGGTAAAATATTGCGAGTTTAACTTTTAGATTTGGTCAGTTTTCCTGACTGAACAGCTCTTCACGTATAATTAGTTCAAGAACTGTAGGAAAATTGAACGTCTAACGAGTCTTTTTGGTTTTACGGTTTTTGGCTCTAAAAAATTGTGTAATTTTGTCTATTTTTTAAAATGATAACAAGCCTTTTCATGCTGATGCCGGGATTTGGGGTTTAGATTAATAAAGTATCTATCCATCTATTTAACCTTTATTTAACCATCTATCCATCTCTCTACTTAGTTGCTTCCACATCTGCAAGAAAGCTTATTTCCTAAAATGCTGCACTACCTTTAATTTTGTGTCTCTGAACCCCAAATCCTGGTATCAGCATGAAAAGGCTTGTTATCATTATATATATGTGTGTGTGTATATATATATAAATATATAAAGTACATTATGTAGTGCACCTGTGTACTATTTCAAGGCACTTGTACTTTACCTGAGTCTTTTCTGCAACTTTATACTTCTTTTCCACTACAGTTCAGAGTGAAAAATCATACTTTTTATTCCACAACATTTATTTTATAATTGAAGTTATTTTGCAGATTAAGTTTAATAATACAAAATCTAATCAACAAATAAATTAGGATGTAATAATAGATTGAGAGAAACCATGATTGCTCCCTGAGGGGACATTCACAAGCAGTAGCTATGAAGTAGTTAAATCACTTTTACCAGCCGCAACATTAAAGTACTGATCACATGTATGAATAATTCAGTATCATGATTTAATATACATTATTCTGAAATATGTCATTCTGCATAACGGGTACTTTTGGTACATTTTGATTATAATTTGTGCTTTAACTTAAGCTGAAATTTGAATGTATGACTTGTAACAAGTATTTTTCTGTTGTGTTGCTACTTTTCCTTGTGTACAAAGTATTTCTTTCACCTGTTTTCTTGCTGAGATTTAGCTGAGAAGATTGATACCACACATGTATGTGAAGTAAATATGCAGCTACTGCTAGCAGAGCTTAGCTTAGCTTAGCTTAGCTCCAATATTGGAAGCAGGAGGAACCTGGTAGAACGACTCTGTACAAAGGCAACATCGCCCAAAAACATTTTTAGCCCCTATTTACCACAATATAAGTAGTTTATTATTTCGTTTAAAAGTGTAAAAATGCTTTTTTGTGTGTCCCTCAGTGCTGCGGGACATCAGTGAGCGAGGTCGGGATCTGGAGAGCGTTCTCGCGCAGTACATCACCTTTGTGAAGCCTGCGTTTGAGGAGTTCTGTCTGCCAGTGAGTGTATTTTCTGTTCTCAGGTTTTTCACGGTCGTGTCCCTGAACTCAGGATGAAACCGCTGTCCTTTTTTGTTCTTAGACGAAGAAATATGCTGATGTGATAATACCGAGAGGAGTCGATAACATTGGTGAGTAGTCAGCTGCACCGTAAACACCACATACCAAACGGTATTAAAGCAAGTGTTGGAGACTCGACGGTGTTATCACAAAGGACGCAGCTGTGTTTATTGTTGACCTCCATGCTGACAATTGTGTTCTCAAAACTAAGGAAGCAAGGCCAGGACAAAATAGCTTTGTCTAATTTGAGAAAAGAGGCATCCAAAACAAAGTGCAAACTATACATCTTCTGGAGGGAAGCTGGCCCTGACCTGTAGCCCCAGTTTGTGCCTCATTACGCTGGAGTTGCAGAGCTCAGCGTCAGCTTTTCTGAAAAATAAATACCAAGGTGAAAGATAATACAGTAGATGGGCTAGGCAGGCAGACTTTAAGGATTATCAAAATACCTTCAAGTGGTAGATTGTGAGTAGTCAAAATGTTCTGAGTATCGGAATAAAAATTCAGACTATTAATGGAGTAACTACGACGAGTCAAAACATGCTATTTTAATTCTGGATAATTAAACATGACTAATAAATGTAACAGTGGTTTACCGTTAGTGTGTTTCGCCACAGACGTCCATTCAGCTGCAGCAACAGTTCCCCCTACATGTTCACACAGAACAGTAAGGAAAAATAAAGACGCAACGGTCCTGCCTTGAAAACACCGTGTGAAAGGAGATCATAATATATACAGCAGTGAGCAAAAGTTTACATGCAAAGACCATGTATATCACGGCAGTCTTGAGTTTCCAGTGACTCCTTTTACTCTTTATATTATATGATGGAATTATTGAAACACATATCTATAAAAAAAAATAAATAAGAATCATGCATTTGTTTTGTTTTTTATAGATTTATTGCAGGTCTTTTAGAAATCCAAAAAAATCTGCAGGGTCAAAACTCTACGTACAGCAGTGCTAATATTTAGTTTAATGTCCTTTGGCCATTGTCACCTCAACTAGACGCTCCAGGTAGCCGTCCACAGCTTCTGGCAATGTTCTGGTTGTACCTTTGACCCTCCACTTGACAGAATTGGTACAGTTATAATAAATTGGTTGGCTTTGTGGCACACATGTGTTTCTTCATCACAGTCCACAGGTTCTTGGTGGGGTATTAAGTCAGGACTTTGGGGAGACCACTCTAAAGCTCTAATTCTAGCTTGATTTAACCATTTCATTACCACTTTTAATGTGTCTTTGGGATCATTGCTTGTCGTAACACCCAGCTGCCTCCAATATCCAACCATCTGGCTGATGAGTTTAAGGTTTCCTAAAGAATGTACAAGTGAAATTCATTCATTATTTTGACCTTTCCACTGGCAGCAAACAATGTCAGAGTATAATACTGCCACCACCATGCTTGATGGTAGGTTTGATGTTCTTGGGCTAAGGGCTTTACTTTCTCTCCTCCAAACAAATTGCTGTCATAATGACAAAATAGCTCATTTTTGATTTGATCTGATCACCAAACTTTCCTCCAGAAGGCCTTTTCTTTGCCCCTGTGAGCAGTAGGGAACTTCAGTCAAGCTTTAAGGTGTTGTTTCTGGAGAAAGGCCATCCTTCTAGCCTCTCAGCTCATGGCAATATAAAACATACTGTTCTGTGGACACTGACACCTGTGTTCCAGCACCTTCTAATTTATTGCAGACCTGCTTTTTGGGGATTCTTGTTTGACTCTTGACCATCCTGACCGATTGTCTCTTAGCAGCAGGTGATGGTTTGTGTTTTCTTTCTGATCGTGGCAGTGACATAACTGCACTATGCACTTAATACTTACAATTGTTTGTATAGATGATCTTTGAAATGGCTCCAAGCTACTTTCCTGATGGGCCCTATTTAAACTTTGCCGCACTGGGGTCAGCAGCTGTAGTTGATTTTGATCACTCACAAGAAGTTAAAAGGCCATGCCACTAAGTATATTTACTCAAGACAACTTTCTACATCACCAAAACTGATAATTCAAGTTGACTCAGCAGATTTTTTCATATTTCCAGAAGACTTATATTAAATCTAGGAAAGAACCAAAATGCCTGATTGTATTTTTTTAATGTGACAAAGACACACGTTTGTCAAAATAAAATTAAGAGTTGTTGGAGTTATTGGAAACTCAAGATTACCATGATTTACAAGTGTACGTAAACTTTTGTTCATAGCTCTATTTGCCACAATCTGGGGGTGAATCCTGACACAATGTCTTTGTCTCTTGCTGCAGTTGCTATAAACCTGATCGTCCAGCACATCCAGGACATTCTGAACGGCGGTCTGACCAAACGGCTCAACGGGTGTTTTGGCGGTTTAGCAAAAAAGCAGCCAAACATGGAGTCGAGCAGTCGGCCGCACTAAAGCACATCTCCACAGAGAGGAAGGAAGGTTCACCTGAACGTGGTTTTCATCGCAGCGAGGCAGAAGTAACTGCCGGGAAATCAGAAGGCTCCTTTTGGTTTGATTCTGCTTGGACTGAGGAACGTGATGAAGAAGGGAAGCTTTGTGGAGCCGGTTTAAAGCAGATGTATTCAGTTCTGTTTTTCTCTTTAGCTTGTGTGAGATTAAAGGGGGAGGAACGCAACGAGGCTCACTTTTAATTTCATTTCAAACTGCTGCTTGCCTTTACCACAGCACAGAGACGGTGGAAGTTAAAGAAGCGGCGTCTCCAGACAGATTCCCGGACACTTCTCAGCCTTTAACCACACAATAAATGCAGTGTAGCAACATGCTCTTTAATGGCAGGGCCTGATTCTCTTTATCAATGCAACTTTTCTTCAAGCTCTATATATTTAAGAAACAAACATATTTTCACTTCTACAAATACCCTTTGAAATAATGTGAAATTTCCAGTATTTGTGTCCCGTTGCCCCCAAGCTGTATTTGCTTCGTTTTGTGTAAATAGAAATTATTAATTAGTAAAAATGAAACAACCGATTTCCACCTCAGATCATCTGATGTACGACATCATCGCCAAAGATCTTTTCTTTTTCTTTTTCTTTCATGTCATCTTTGTGAACCAGTTGTGGAGTTTCCGTTGAATGTGATACCGTCACTCATTTAAGAACAATTAATTACGTCGTTACTGAATTACCACAAAGTGTTATTTTCATTTGGTTGCTTGCAATCCTCAGATGCACACGTGTGTACATTTTCATTTAAAAAAGATGCACTGAGCTGTAAAATGACATTTAGTCCAACATGTAACAGTGTTCTGTAAAAGTTTTTTCTGCCTGTATACACATTTCTTATAATAAAGTTCTCAGGTACTCTTTGTTTGCTTCGATTTGTCACTTTTAAAAGCCCGTGTCAATCCCTCTGTTTTAGTTGTTTAACTTGTCGAGCTGCATGTTGAGAGAAAAGTGCCACAGTGGTGCGGCGTTCAAGTGACCCAGATTTCACTGGTTAGTTACCGATACTGGGAGACGATCAGGTCATGTCATGTTGGGAGAAGCAGGCGGGAGAGTTTACATATGCTGGCTGTTTTATTGGCCTTTTCCCACTGGAGACAGTTTGACATGTCACACTGAGATAGGCCAAACTGGACTGTAGCCATCACAGGTTTTTTTGGTTTTTTTTTCCCCTGCAGCTTAGGCACACAGGACTGATGAAAAGAAGGGGGCTGCAAGGTGACTCAGTGATTAGCACCGTTGCCTCGCAGCTAGAAGGTCGCTGGGTTCTTACCCAGTGAGAACACCTGGGATCTTTCTGCGTGGAGTTTGCATGTTTTCCCCGTGCAGAGTGGGTTCTCTCCGGGTTCTCCAGCTTCCTCCCACACAGTCCAAAAACATGCTGAGGTTAATTGGTGATTCTAAATTGTCTGTAGGTGTGAATGTGAGTGTGCTTGGTTGTCTGTCTCTAAGTGTAGCCCTGTGATAGACTGGTGACCTGTCCAGGGTGTCCCCTGCCTTCACCCTGAGTCAGCTGGGATAGACTCCAGCCCCCTATGACCCTAGTGAGGATTAAGTGGTGTATAGATAATGGATGGATGGATGAAAAGAAGGCATAAACAGAAGCACAAAAAAAAAACACCACAATGCAGCAAAATGAAATGTTCTAACTGTAAATTACCAAAGAGGAGCTGCTTATTATTTCTTCCCAATGATTGAATCAATTCAATGCCCTTGAGCAGGGGGATTTCCTGTAATCTGGAGAATTGTTATGCCCCAATTTGTTCCTTTTTCTACACCAATTTACAGTGGAAGTGTATTATGCAATAGAAAAAACCTATATTCAGGTATAATTTGTAAAGTTTGCAGTTTTTTCAAACGATACTTACACCCATGTGTGTCGCTGTATTGGATGAAAATCTCTGCATTTTCCATCTATTTGACATTTTCAAGATGGTTAATCTTGATTAAATGAAACCTCAGTTAACAAAGCTGTGAGGGAAAAGTGTTATTTTTATTCCTAATTGTTAATATTTGGGTGCAACTTACAGCTTGTAAGTTTGGGGGGTGGTAAAGATCCCTCTGTGCAGGAAAAGCCCAGATGCTGTACTTTTCCAACTCTTAGTTGAAGTATTGGCTCCATAAAATGACTTTTCAGCCATCATATTCGTGTTAATGGTATAGAGGAGAATCATTAAATTTGTTTTGTCAATAAAATATAACTATTAACTTAAGAGAAAAAAAATGTTCTGATATGTTAGTAGGAACTCAGGAGTCATGACAAAAGTCCAGTGCAGGTAATATAAGTCTGCTGTGTCCCAAGTCCACACTAACTCCTGGCAGGTTTGTAGTGTGGTCACACCAAAAAAACCATCCATCCATTATCTATACACCGCCTAATCCTCACTAGGGTTGCGGGGGGCTGGAGCCTATCCCGGCCGACTTAGGGCGAAGGCAAGAAAAACCACAAAATAAAAATAATTAAAACTAAATCAAAACTTTGTTTTGCTGTCATGCTGTTGATGGGACCCGTTCTCCCACAATGCACTGCACCAAGGAGCTGGAAAATGCTGCAAGAACACATCATGAAACTGTCTTTTTGGGAAACATTTTTCTGTCCGGTTTGTTTAATTAGCAGTGGACATTCAGACTGTGTACAGCCAGTATGGAGCTGGGATGCAGCATGTATGTGAGAACAGTCCATAGGTGGAGATTTTTAAGGCATCAATTACTTTGTTTATTGCATTTATGTGATTTTTTAAAGGCACAGATTTGTTCTTTTCTGCATCAGTTTATGATGCAAATGTCTAAGTAAAGGATAAAAGTAAAATGTAGGCACCAGGTGACAATTCAAAATATACTGGATGAAACACACGTATCCCTGCATGTCGCCTGAAATTAAGGACAGTCACACAATTTGGATGTAAACAATCAGTTTACTTGAATTATAAAAGACAGAAACAAGACTAAAAGTGTTTCATCTCTCATTGTGCTTTGAAGTTTGACGGAAACAGTCAGTTCATTGGGCAGAGACACACTGAGGTATTAAAAGTATTTACAAAGAACTGCATGAGTCCATTTGATTTAAATCCAGGCAGAGCACCAGAACTGTCCACCCAGTGTGAGGAGCTTCTGCTGATGGACAGCAGAAGCAGCCTCATCACTCCTGGGTTTAGAAACTCCGTCTTTACTCCCTGACGGCGGCGTTCTGCCCAAACAGGCCTCGGTACAGCTCGCTGCGCGCCTCGTCGCTCATCGAGCTGTGATCAACGGGCGCCATGAAGTTGACCAGCTTGCTGTGGACGTGGAAGCGGACTTTGCGGCCCTTGCTGGCTTTGGTGTCCACCTTCTTCTTGATCTTGCTGCGCAGCTTCTGGATGGCGAGCCACTGCCGCCCCATCGCCACCTGGTCGTTGGGGTCCGCCGCACTCGTCTTGCGCTCGATGAGCTCTCTGAGCAGCTGGTGGTAGAAGTCATCGTCGTCGAATATGTCCTCGTCCAGATCTTTCAGATGCGTGTTGGCCTTCAGCTGCTGCTCTGCTCCCTCTGGATTCTCCGAGACGACCACGGAGGCCTCTTTCTTCCCCAGGACTCTGTACTCTGAGCGGCGGGTCTGTGTGCGCCTCACCAGCCTCTCGTTGTCCATCAGCACCTGCTCCACCTGGGTCAGAATGCTCCTGTCGAACGCCCCGAACCCTTTGCTGCTGCTCTTGCCCTGAGTCAGCCGGGTTTTGTCGTGCCACTTCTGCAGCGTGGCGTCACGATATGGCTGGAAAGCTGCAAACCGCTTGGCCATGAAGTCCGGGTACTCTGCCATCTCCAGCTTTCGTTTGGGTGCTCCAGCCCGCAGCACTGGCCCTTCATCTCCTTCGTCACTGTTTATCTCCTCGTCCTCGCTCTCCCCCGCTGCGATGCTCCTTGTGTCGGCGCTCTGGTGCAGCAGCTGGTCGTGCAGCTCCAGCAGGGACCTCTGCAGAGCCTTCAGAGCCTTGTGGCTGTTCTTCAGCGCCCCCGCCAGCTCGGCCCCACCCCTCCTCCTGAACTCCGAGAAGGTGGGCGGCTGGGGCAGCTGGTTGGTGGTCACCAGGGCTTTTTGGAGTTTGATCCGGCCTTCGAGCAGCTGGTCCCACAGGGCGAGCTGGTTCTTCACGGCCGTGCCCTTCTCCACCTCCTCGTCCACTTTATCCTGAGAAAACGTGCGCACGGCTCCCCCGTCCTCCTCGTCCTCCATCTCCTCTTCATCATCGGAGCCTGCGTCTTCATCGTCGTCGCTGCCTTCGGATTCCTCGTCATCATCATCGTCCTCCTCGCTCACTCCCAGGTCGTCCATGCCCTCTGTGAGTTTGTGGAAGTCCACTCCTTGAGGAAAGCTCACGTCAGAGCCCTTCCTCTTGGATGAAACTTCACCATCTGAATCATTGTCCAGCAACTCCTCATCATCATCATCACCATCATCTTCTTCCTCTAAATCACCTTCACCATCATCATCATCATCATCTACCTCTTCATCCCCCATAGAGTCCCCTTCCTCTCCGCTACCCTCCTCTTCCTCCTCCTCAGATCCTTCCACATCCATCAGCAGCTGTTTACGGGATACTGCCTTCCCCACGTACCGCCTGTCCGTGTCCGACAGCAGGGTTGTGTTGCTCTTCCTCAGCGCACTGAAGCCGACCTCATCTTCTTCCTCCTCCTCTTCCTCATTGAACCTGTCTATCACTCTGGCTTTGGTCGCTTCGTCGTCATCATCTTCTGGATCCGCAAATTTCGGCAAAGGATTCAGCAAATCCTCGAGCTCCTGAGAAAACGAGCCTGCCATGGCTCAAAGTTTTACAACAACCGCACGTGTGAGGCGCTCGGGACGGTTCCTCGGTGCGACGGTAGTGGCGGTGACGTCAGAAACATGCGACGAGCTCCTGACGTGACGGCATGTGAACCCTGCGCGCTGCTTTCAGGCGGAACCTTTGCGCTCGGACTGCGCGTAAAACCGGTGCCGTGCCGAAAACTGTGCGGTGCTTGTTCGAGCTGTAGATTATATACATTTATACTTGCACACATCTGGTTCAAACAATCATAAAGAATGCAGCAAATTGTTTTCAATTACTATAATTTCTCTGCATTATTGTACTTGCTCTGTGTGCCGGATTTTAACCACTCCAGTTCTTTTAATCAGCTTTAAAAAAAAAAAAAACAGTCTCAACTCACATAATGCAGTTTTCCACTTATCAAAAATGATGTTAGACCCTCTGTGGTGGTTGAAACGTTATTCGTGCGTCAAAATGACCTGATTCAATAAATGAGGGTTATATTTAAAGGGTTTTTGCCCATAGAATTACTGCAAAATAGATTTTTTTTTTCTTATCTGCTCTACAAAATACATTTGTGAATCATGTAAATTCTAGTCTGGTGTCTAAATATGGACACTGAACATGCCAAATACACACAGCACAATCAGCCAAAACAATACCATAGTGTTGCATATAATGTAGTAATTGCTTTATTAAGAAAATAATTTAGTTTACACAACAATAGCAGTCCGAAGACTGATTTGGAAAAATCTGACTAAAAAAACGTAGAACAGACAAAAATAACCTCTCCAAAAATATTAGAATTGTAAGAAAAAAGAAAAAAAAAAAGGGTGGGGGGAATCTGTACAAAAAGAGATTTTGTAAATGATTCAACAATCTGTGTTTTTTTAAGTAATCAAAAATTCGTAATTGCGTTGTATCTAAAATAACAAATGAGATATAATAATTCTTTGACATGTAATGAAGATTCAAAGACAGTTTATTAAGCAGAAAATATAACAGGCATTACACTTGCACAAATAATGGAAAAAAATATATAGCAAAGCAAGCTGGGCTGTCTCAATATAAAATTTAAAAACAAAGGTGACATTCAGTTGTAGATACTTTACAGGTATGTCTCTATTAATTGATGAATTAAATACGGTCACAAAGATGAGTTTCTAATCGCACCAAACGTTTTACAGGGAGCATTTAATATAAAATTTTACATTATTTTGTTGAGGCAGTTTGAGTCCAAAGTGAACTGATTTATACACGAACCGCACTAATGATAAATGCTGTTTTGCATAAGTCACATAAAGGGAAATCCACGCTGCACTCCTCAGGTTGAACCACCTGAAAGACAAACTCCAGGACATTAAAATCCCCATACATGTGACCATTTGCGCATGCGTACGCGACTGGTCTGACTTCGGGCTGCTCTTGCTAGCCGAGTTTTGTTCGCCAGATTTCACCAGAAACAGGACTTTCTGGAGCGTAAAGATGTCCACAAGTGACTTTTATTTGAGATATTATGTGGGACACAAGGGAAAGTTTGGACACGAGTTCCTGGAATTTGAATTCAGACCAGACGGTGAGTTTAATTTGGTGATACTACAGCTGCGCTAGCTTTCATTCGCCGAAGCTAACGTCGCTAGCTACCCTGCAGTTAGCTAGGCCGCAACTGACTCTAGCGCCAAATCCTCTCTTTGGTCTCAGTTGGTTTGTTCATGCTAATATTATTATTTTTAAACGAATTACTACCGTCACGTATGTTTTTGTACATTGCATTAAATTTCTAAATAATATGGCGGAAGTGTGTACGCGCCATGTGGCCTGTATGGATGATCAGGAACTCGCATTTTTTCATTGAAGTGATGCAAAGTTTTCTGCTTCAAACTGAACGCTTTCTTTGCAGGTAAACTCAGGTATGCGAACAACAGCAACTACAAGAACGACGTCATGATCAGGAAAGAGGTAATTTATGATTATAAACACTTTATTTCTGGTGTAATCAGACTCAATGGTACGCCATACTTTTTGGGTTTCTTGGGATATTTTTGCTAATACCTTAAGGTTGTTTTAACAGTGTAGTAGTGCTGTTAGCATCATCACAATATCATTGACCTGATTGTCTGATCATAATAATAATAGTCAGATTTTGAGTGCAGCTGTTGAGCCTTCATGCGCTGTCATATGTAAACTAGGAGTCAGGAAGGTTGACTTGTTGTTGAGTTACAACACAAACATGTTATATTTGTTTGTGACATAGCCCAAGTTAAATCTGATTTGTCTCTGTTTTGTGCACCAACCTCAGGCATACGTACACAAAAGCGTGATGGAAGAGCTGAAGAGGATCATCGACGACAGTGAAATCACCAAAGAAGATGATGCACTGTGGCCGCCTCCTGACAGAGTTGGCAGACAGGTTTGTGACCAGATTATATTGTTTTTCAAGTTTTGGAATCGTATACTGCAGCAGGAGCAAACGCTTAGATGGAATTATCTGCATTTATTCATAGCGTTTGCTTTAAAATATGTCCGCATCTTCATCTGAGTTATGACTCTGAGCAAAAATATTTATTTTCAACTCATATAGCACAAATCATTTCATTGTTCTTGTCCATATTATTTACTATCAAACCAAAATTTACAGTGTAGGTTGAAGAAGCCCGTGAACTGCAAGATTATCAGAACCTAACTGGAGTCAGGAGTTAGCAAACTTTATTTATAATTCATACATTTCAGAATGATTCTCAAGAAGTGCATTTTCCCATGATGAAGGATATGCAGGAAACACTTTGGTGTTTGGCCATATCAAAGTGAATTATATAGTCTGAATTATATATTCATGCAACATCTAGATGGCCAACTGAGTACATGAAGTTTTCTCTGGAAACACGGTGCACACAGCTTGTGTTGCTGCAACTGCACGGCTTCGTTCAGGGGCATTGCTAACATCTGGCTCAGCAGGTTTACAGATTTTCTTGAAGTTGTGGGTCAGAGCTGCCGTGAAACTGGCAGACTGTGATTTTTTTATTTATTTTGTACAATGTGCCGGCCTTCCTGCAGCAAACATCTCTGATCACACTCTACAGGTCAATGAACCGGTGCTGATGTGAAGCTAACACTGAACATAGGAACCAAGCTCATTTTGCCAAGTCACAGTTCATTAAAGATTATTCAAACAACATTGCGATAACCTCAGTTTTACCAAAATAGAAAGAAGGTCAGTGTTAGTCTGTGCAGTATAAAGTCCTGCAGCTCTTACGAAACAGTACGAAACTGTTAAAATGCAATAACAATGGAATCAACACATGAAACATTTTTCAAGCGCTTAGAGGTGTAACTGAGGGGAAAAGGTGACGCTAGTTATAAATATTTTATTACTTACATTTCATCCTCCATTTTTTTTTCTTCTCTGCTCTGTATAAACACAGCCTGCAGTTCATCCCAGTTCAGCTGTAAAATCAAACAGAATTTCTCATGTGACTGCTGGTTGAGTCACTAATAACGTCCCAGTGCAGGAGTGCAGCATTTTTACATAATGTGGTGCAAATGGTTTAGTTATTAGAATAAACTGATTTTGATGAAATGTGATTTTAGGCTTAGATTCGGTTACATTTCCTGGCAGAGCGGAACATCAGAGTTCAAGGATCATTACAAAGGTGAAAATCTTGAAAATTCAATTTTGACAGTTTCTTGCTCTAATAAAAATAATTTTAGGGATTTAAATGCCTTTCAAACCAGCCAGCAGGTTTTGGAGCTGAAAGTGATTTTTAAAAAAACAAAAAACAAACACTGCTGCTGATGTTGCACAAAATTCTGTAACCTGTAAGATGTTGTGACCTGAGCAGAGAATAATTTTACCATCACATAACTTGTGTTTGATGTTCAACTCCATAGTTTTTACACTGGTTCAGTGTTTTAATAGCTGTTATAATTTGATTTAAAATGTCACAGATTTCAGTAGCATGTATGGAGCACACCACCGTTCCATGTTCGCCTCACCCGTTGATATTATTTATTTTGACAAGAACACTTGGATGTGAACACTGGCAGCTGCACTTAATCAGCTTTGCATTGTTGAGTCGGCCTTGAAATGTTTTTTAAGCCTGTTTTTGATCTTATTTTTACAGGAGCTGGAGATCGTCATCGGAGACGAGCACATTTCATTCACAACTTCCAAAATTGGCTCCTTGATCGACGTCAACCAGTCAAAGTGAGTTTTTTAGTGCCCCCCCCTAATAAAGAGAGTTATCATTAAGTGCACACAGTTGGTAACACAAACTCATTGACTTCACTCTGTGTGGACCAGTCATGCTTACTGTCGTTAGTAGTCGCCTCCCTAACACCCTTTCTAAGACACATTTAACCTGGAGTTCTGTATGAAGTCAAGTTAGGAAAGTAGATGCTGTATATTTGTAACTAACGGAGGATAACATCAATATCGTGCTGTTTCAGGGACCCTGAAGGTCTTCGTGTGTTCTACTACCTGGTCCAAGACCTGAAATGTCTCGTCTTCAGTCTGATCGGACTACACTTCAAGATCAAGCCCATCTAAAATGTGCATTTTGGTCGTTTTAATTACTTTAGCTAATGTTTCTGTTGTACTACCGCATTTGTACATTTGCTTTTGGTGGAACTGTTTTTTATTTTAAATAAAGAGTGAGGAAAAAACTACAACGGTGTCTTCTGCTTGTATCATCTCTAATGACCTCATGTTAGCTGGAGTGGGAAGATTCTCCTCCTACAGAAACATTTCAGTAAATAACGATGCAAATGCAAATAATTAAATTAAGTTTTATTTCAAAAAAACATTCACCCACAACAACAAGGCCTGGAATCGACAATGATGATAACTGAAATGCTCTGATGGAGCTTCACATCATTTTATAAGGCACAGCTTCTGTCTGCCATCTACTGCACAGGATTTCTAAAACTGCATGAACATTGCGGCCGTATAATTTAACCCTAAAGCACAGCGAACACCTACCGTTAGGCTACAGTACACTGCTGTTAGAATGGATGTGAAATTTAATACCAGTCGCAAATTTCAGATTCAGTGCGCATAACTGGTTCAAGTAAAGTTTCGGTTGTAATGCTTAATGTCGTTTTTTTATAATACAGTAATTATGTCCACAGTTAAAACCTGACCCTGCCCTTCATCTCACATGATGGATGAACATGTGATGTCCCAACAGTGATGTACATTAATTAACTACTACAGAAGCTGTTCTCTGTATTGTAAAAAAAAATATTTTACTCATCTTTTTTATTGCGTCTTTGTGATATATTGATCAATACGAGGGTTGATCAAAAAGTTCTGAGACTGGTGGATGTGCAGCATGTGTGAGCAGGAGCTGTTGAGTCAAGATGTCACACACTGAACAATCAACATCAGGACCTGTGTTACATGTGTTTACTGGTAGCTGCACATTTCTGGTTTCTCCATTGATATGAAACTGGAGCAGAGAGCAAAAATCTCAGTCTGTGTCCATCAGCAGGTGGATGATCCAACCTTTATGCAGGACCATCACTCCAAACCGGAGGATGCTTGTTGTTTTCTTCAACGTTCACGTGGTTATGCACTGTGAATTCATTCTCCAGTGTCGGACAGTTAAGGCAGGGTTCTTCTGTAAAGTCCTGAGGTGTCTGAGGGAGAGATCTGGTGCAAAGGCATGCCAGTGCTACAATACGCACTGCGTCTGGTCACAACATGAAAATGAGGCACTGGTGTTCTTTGGCCACAAACACAATAGTTGCTCCCCACCTGCCCTACTGGCCAAACTACGCTCCCTGTGACTCCTTCCTCAAAAAAGGAGTTAAATTATTACCATTTTGACACAGTTTAAGAGATTCAGTGCTTGCTGCAGATAATGCTTGACATGTTTACGTAACAAGACTCCCAGGGAGTGTTTCAAGCGGTGCAGGAGCACTGGGAGCAGTGTGTCACGGCACAAAAGGTACTACTTTGATGCGGCTGGTGGCCAAATTTATACTGGGTTCAGTTTTAGATTTTTATCGTTACAGTCTCAGTTTTTTCAATCAACCCTCGTAAAACGACCCTTTCGCTACATACACTTCTGTCTTAGCTGAGCGGCTTCCCTTCCAGGACGCTGAAAATGTCCTCTAAAGACTTGTGGACACACTGCAGGAACTCGTGGACGTTGCGAGACGGGTAGCTGGACACGTTGCAGCCGATCCACTCGTCGTGGACACCGTAGCCGACACCGAATCCGTCGGGCACCACCGGGGCGAAGCCACCGAGGCTGACGGCGGGGCTGGTGAGGGTGCTGGTGGAGAGGATGTTGTGGTTGATGGCAGCGTAGGCCGGGTCCATGTACAAGTTGTGCAGAGGTTGGCCCTTTGAGTTGGCCAGGTATCGCAGGGCAAACAGGTGACGGTCGAACCCTTGACCTGGTGAGAGAAGTGAAAGAAGACCTATCTTATCTTATCTCATCTGGGTATTTTGCGTATTTCATGCCAGTACATATGCTGTATACACACCCATAGCTGCTTCCTTGGTGAGCTGCCCGTGATATTTAGAGCATTCCTGAAGCATGCCCCGTAGCTCCTCCACACTGTGCTTTCCAGGTTGGCGAACGAAGGCATGTGAGCACTGTTTGGTGTGTATGGAGGCTGGTCGGATGGTCTCTGTGCGGCCATGTTTGAACGCCGCAGTGCTACAAGACTCGTATGTGGCTACTGTCTGTCCATACTGCCTCAAGAAGCCCATCTGAAAAGCCAGCTGAGCGATAGCGTCTGGACTCAGCTTGCTCTTCTTTAACTGCTCCTTCCCGCCTTTCTTAAACTCCATGGCGTCGATGGTGAGTTTCGACACAGCCGAGTTGAAGTTCTCCTTCGCCTTTTTGATGCCGTTCTGCAGCTCGCCGTCCAGGTTGAAGTGCAGTCTGCGCACGGCCGAGGCTGAATCCACAGCAGCAGCGGCAGAACCTGGGTGAACCAGTGGCTTCTCTGTCGTGTCTTTAAAGACCTCGTTCTGAAAGCGGAGCACGGCCACCCCATCGCCCCAGGAGTGCTCGAAGTTAATAGCTGCCTGCCCGTCTTTGGTGAGAATGATGCTGAAGGACTTGTCATACCAGCGGTTGCAGCCGTCGCCATGTAGCATGTTGTGGGAGATGTGAATATGGTCACGCATGCTCTCTTCATCGAGACAGAGACAGAAGAGGGCGCTGTCGATGACGCGTAAATCCTCTGCGTTTCCAGCAGCTATCAGCTTCTCCCTCAGCCCAGCCCAAACATCCCTGTTCTCACTGGTCAGGACGCCCAGAGGGAAGGCGGGTGCCTCCGTCGAGTCTGACAAAATGTACTTCAGGTGGGACTGGATCTCCGCAGGCTTCACCAAATTCCCATCCCTGTCCACAATGTCAAACACGTACATGTTGCCTTTTCTCATAACTAACAGATGTCGACCTTTATCATCAGTGAACAGCTCATCTCGCCCGTGCTTCGGAATCCGACTTGAGTTAAAGAGGCGGAAGTACTGGGACATGTCCAGGGGATAAGCATTCACCATGTAGGCTCCGTACCAAGACAGCGACGACGGGACCCAGCGGATAAAGTTTTTGAAGCCGTCTGTGTCACTCTTTGCAGGGTTCAGGTGGAAAACCTCCGGCTCTAGCAGGCCAGCTCGCAGCGTCTTCATGAAGCGCACTGCTGAACACACCATGTTGGTCGCACGCAGGAGCTGGTTGTTGTACTCGGCCTTGGGGTCGGGATTGAAAGACATGAAGGGGTTGAAGTTCAGCACCACAGAGTCCCGTGCAGCGAGGTACATGTCAAACCACGGCCCTGAAAGATAAGAAGCAATGTAAGCACATCCATTTTATGCATTGGAGAGGCTCAGTTCCAAGCTGGTCACCCTCACAGTGGCTCAGTCACCTGAGATGTAGCTTGTGTGCTTGTTGTTTTTGTCCTGAGCTACCAGCTCCTCATGCAGCTGCTTGCCCACACCGTTCTGGAAATCTTGGGCATGTTTCTCTGTTGTCCTGAAAGCATGCAAAAAAGATGGTTGTGTGTAAGTTTAAAGCATCAAATCATGACATTAAAAGGGTGGTTTCTTTGTGAAAACTTACCCGAACTGGCCATCATCCAACAGAGGCCTCTGGGCAGCTAAATACCTTCTGATGGTGTCTTCTAGTTTAGGTACAGGGAGCCTAAGCACAGCAGAACAGCCCAGGTAAATGTCCCCTGTCATGTCATGGCCCTCTAGTGGTCACTGAGCTAACATCAAGTGTGCCCTTTTACCTACATTCCTGCAGTCATTTCTAAGCTAAATGGGTCACCTTTCCTTCAGAACACCTTGCTGCTACGTTCTCTGCACATTCCCACTTCAATCCACATCCACATTAAACAGTGTTGAATCACAACAATATATTTGGGTAAAATGAAAAAGGCAGCTGACAAAATCTCCAGTTATCTCCTTACCTGGGTAAGCTCTTCTGGTAATGCATGGATGGCACGACGCTTTGGTGCAGATACTCAGACGAAGAGGCTTTCTCGCTGCTGTAGTGTCTCGTCTGGATCCCCAATGCGGTGCTTCTTAAATAAAATAAACTCCCAGATTTCCTCACAGAGGCAGCGCACTCCACTGAAAGCAGACTAGCCATGGCGCTGGTGAGCGAATTTGAACACCTGCAGCGGTTTTATCGACGGAGAAATCACCGGGTATCCGAGTGTAATGCACAAAAAGTGACAGCCAAAGAGCCAGAGCTCAGCACCGCAGCTGTCAGCGCAAGTAAATACAGCAACAGCTAATGAGCTAACATTAGCAGCCGACGGCTTACCTCAGCCGACCTCTTTGTTTCCGGATCAGTTTGACACTCGGAGTGAGTTGACTCAAAGAGAATATGTAGCTCGTTTATCATTCGACTTGGTTTAAAACCGTAAAGTGAAAAAATAAACGAAAAAAGAAATAAATACGAAGTGAATAGATAACAGGAAGTGAACCGGTAGGACGTGTCATGTGACGTCGTTCTCTTCTTCTTCTGTTAAATTTGCGGCAGACCGGACACGGCAGCGGCGGTTTGCTCCCCCTCCACAGGCCATAAGTAGAACTACACTAACACGTTTAAATCCCAGTGTTGTGAGTATAATCACAGCATCCATCCATCCATCCATCCATCCATCCATTATCTATACACCGCTTAATCCTCACTAGGGTCGCGGGAGGCTGGAGTCTATCCCAGCTGACTCAGGGTGAAGGCAGGGGACACCCTGGACAGGTCACCAGTCTATCACAGGGCTACACTTAGAGACAGACAACCAAGCACACTCACATTCACACCTATGGACAATTTAGAATCACCAATTATCCTCAACATGTTTTTGGACTTGTGGGAGGAAGCCGGAGAAGCCGGAGAGAACCCACGCTGCACGAGGAGAACATGGAGACTTCATACAGAAAGATCCCAGGTGTCCTCACTGGGACAAGAACCGGCGACCTTCTTGCTGCGAGGCAATGGTGCTAATCACTGATCTACCTTGCAGCCCCTCAAAGGATTCAGTGTTCATTAAAAAAAAAATCTATTCCAAAAAGGTGCAGTTTTCCTTTAGTTAAAATGGAAAATTCTTTTCAGACAGAAAAACTAATTTTTGGTCAGGGTATAATTTTCAAATCCTGAGATCAGTTTGTCTGATCTAATTATTGACCTGCATTTACAACAAAGGCCAGTAACAAAATAAAAGATGTTTGCACACAAATAGGGAAACCAAAGTAGCCATTAGATAGTACGAGACAAAGGCAGTAAAATTATATATTGTATTAATATTTAGCGCAGTTAAAGACGAATTAATCAACTAAAATAAGAGTGGCCGGGAGCAAAATAAGATTTGCTCTGTGGATTAAAATGAATCCAGTTTCGAATTCTCTGCAGGTTATTTCAATTTCCAGGTGCAAAATGAGTAAAGCTGGAGCGTTGTAAAAACAGATGGCACCTGCAGTGTAATCCAGTCATTCGAGAATATTTGGTAAAAGCCCACATTAAAAAACAGTAAGGAAATGATGCAAGACGAAAACAACAGGAAGGGCCTTGTGATAAATAAAACCCAGACTCTGTCCTAGAGAGGAAGAGCCACCCAATCTAAGCATACATCTCACGCTGACTGACATAGAGCAGGCTGGCCAACCAGACTTGTTTAGAGTAACCCATCAAACTCTGGGAGACCTTCTGGGGATTTTTCAGCTACTGCAACGTTTTCAGCATTCTTTTACAAGCCTAATATTGAATATTTATATCAAACCAAGGTCTTAGATATCTTCACACTTTTTGATAGCTGTGATTTTGAGAGCTGGTAATGAGATTTTGTGAAATTGGAGCTCAGGCTACATGAAAGACGGACTAGATATTAAATGTTGGTGCTTTACAGGTTCACTCTGAGGTTGCAGTCTCCCTGCCAGCGGGACTGTCATCCATCCATGGAAGGTCCCAGCATCCCGAGCCAGCAGAGACGGCGTCGACCCGCCGGGGAACAGGGACTGGAACCGGCTCAGTGGCGG